TTTTTTAAGTAATCTCTCCACCCAGCATGGGGCTAGATCTCACAACCCTGAGTTCAGCAATCACACGCTCCACTGACTCAACCAGCCAGGCACCCCACATCTTAACCATTTTTAAATTTTTTTTTTTCAACGTTTTTATTTATTTATGGGACAGACAGAGACAGAGCATGAACGGGGGAGGGGCAGAGAGAGAGGGAGACACAGAATCGGAAACAGGCTCCAGGCTCCGAGCCATCAGCCCAGAGCCTGACGCGGGGCTCGAACTCACGGACCGTGAGATCGTGACCTGGCTGAAGTCGGACGCTTAACCGACTGCGCCACCCAGGCGCCCCTTAACCATTTTTAAATGTACAGTTCAGTGATCCTGCATACACATTAGTGAGGTTGTGTAACTATCCACTTTCATACCTGTTGTCATTTTATAAAACTGAAACTCTGTACCCATTAAACAGTAAGTCCCCATTATCCCCACTTCCCATCCCCTGGCAACCACTGACTCTGTCTCTGTGATTTTGTTTATTCTAAATATTTCATAGTGGATCGTATAGTCTTTGTCTTATTGTGACTGGTTTATATCAGTTAGCTTAGTGTCCTTGCAGTTCACCCCTATTGTAGCCTGTGTCAGAATTGCTTTCTGTCTTAAGGCCGAATCATAGTCCATTTATAGATATGCCACGTGTTGCTTATTCATTCACAGTCAGTGGGCACTTAGGTTGCTTCCACATTTTAGCCATTGTGAAAAATGCTGCCGTGAACATTGTGTATAAATCTCTCTTTGAGACCCTGCTCTTGGTTCTTCTGGATAAATATCTAGAAGTGAAATTGCTGGATCATATGGTAGTTCCATTTTTAATTTTTTGAGGAATCTCCATACTGTTTTCCATGGTGGCTGCATCATTTTACCTTCCCGCCAAGAGTGCAAGAGGGTTGCAAGTTCTCCACGTCCTTGCCACACTTATTATGTTATGTTGTGTTGTGTTGTGTGTGTGTGTCTTTATAGTAGCCCACCTAATGGGTGTGAGGTTGTATCTCATCGTGTTGTTTTTCTTTTTAATTTTTAATTTTAATTCCAGTATAGTTAACATATAGTGTTCTGTTAGTTTCAAGTGTATCATTACAGTTTTTATTTGCTTTCCTCTAATGATTAGTGATAGTGGACATCTTTTCATTTGCTTGTTGCCCATTTGTGTATCTTCTTTGAAGTAAAACCTATTCAAGTTCTTTGCTCATTTTATTTTTTTTTTAGAGGAGCCCCCCCCCCCCTTTTTTAAGCTTATGTATTTTTGAGAGAGTGTGAGCAAGGGAGGGACGGGGGGGTGGGGGGAGACAGAAGATCTAAAGCAGGCTCCACGCTGAGAGCACAGAGCCTGACGCAGGGCTCAAACTCAGTGAGCTGTGAGATCATGACCTGAGCCGCAGTTGGACGCTTAACTGACTGAGCCACCCAGGCGCCCCTCTTTGCTCATTTTAAAGTCAGGTTGGTTTTTTTGTTGTTGTTGAGTTTTAGGAGTTCTCTGTGTATTCTGGATATTAATCCCTTATCAGGCGTAGGATTCACAAATATTTTCTCATATTCTGTGCACTGCCTGTTTACCCTGGATGGTGTCTTTTGAGGCACAAATTTTTAAAATTTTCTGAAGTTTAGTTTGTCTTTTCTCTTGTTGCCCATGCCTTTTGTGTCATATCCAAGAAATCATTGCCAAGTCCAATGTTGAGAACCTTTTGTCCTATGTTTTCTTCGGAAGCTTTATAGTTTCAGTTTTAGTCATTGATCTATTTTGGGTTAATTTTTGTATGTGACGTTAGTTAACAATCCAACTTCATTCTTTTGCATGTATGTGGGCACCCAGTATTCCCAGCACCATTTGCTTGATAAGACTGTCTTTTCCCTAGTGAATGGTCTTGGCATCCTTGTAAAAAATCACCTGACCATGTATGTAAGGATATACATCTGGGCTCTCTATTCCATTGGTCTATATGTCTGTTTTTATGCCAGTACCACACCGTTTTGAGTACTGTAGCTTGATTATAAGTTTTGAAATTAAGTAGTTATAAGCCCTTCAGCTTTGTTGTTTTTTCAAGATTATTTTGACTCTTTGGGTCCTTTAAGATCCCACATGAATTTTAGGTTGGGGTTTTCTATTTCTGCAAACAGTGAATTTTGATAGAGATTGTATTGAATGTGTAGATTGTTGGTTCGTATTGACATTTTAACAGTATTAGGTCTTTCAATCCATAAACATGAAACGTGTTCTCAGTTGTCTTCCTTAATATCTTTCAGCAATATATTGTAGTTTCGTTGTACAAAATTTTCATCTCTTTAGTTCAGTGAATTCTTAATTAGTTTCTTCTGTTTTGTTGCTATTATAAATTGTTTTCTTAATTTCCTATCCGGATTGTTCATTGTTCATGTATAGAAATGTAACTGATTTTTGGATGTTGACTTTATATATCCTGTGACTGTGCTGAATTGATTTATTAATTCTAACAGGGCTTTTTTGTAGAATCTTTGTTTTCTATTTATGATCATATTATCTTGGAACATACGATATTACTCGTTCCTTTCCAATTTGGACACCTTTTATTTCTTTTTCTTGCCTAATTACTCTGGCTAGAACATCCAGTACTGTGTTGAAGAGAGGTGGTGAAAGCAGGCATTCTTGCCTTATTCCTGATTTTAGAGGAAAGTCTTTCAGTCCAATACCATTGAGTATGATGTATGGTGTGTCTTTTTCACATATGGTTTTTTATTATGTTAAAGTAGTTTCTAGTATGTTGAATGTCTTTATCGTGAAATGCATTTTCTGTCAAATGCATTTTGTCAAACGCATTTTCTGCGTCAGTTGAAACGATCATGTGATATTTTTCTCCTTCATTTTGTTAACGTAGTGTATTACATAGATTGGTTTTCTTATGTTAAACTATACTTCCATCCCAGGAGTAAGTGCCACTTGGTTACACTGTATAATGTTTTCAATATGGTGTTGGATTCTATTTGCTAGTCTTTTAGGATTTTTGCATCAATGTTCATAAGGGAAATTGGCATGTAGTTTTGTTTTTGTAGTGTCTTTTTCTGTCTTTAGTATCAAGATAACGCTGGCCTTGTACAGTGAGTCAGGAGCAGTTCTCTTTGTTTCTGTCATATAAAGGACAATGTAGAGAATTAGTATATAATATAATATCCTCCTTAAATATATTATATATAATATCCTCCTTAAATATGTGATAGAATCTACCAGGAAACCCATTTGGGTTCTTCATTTTTTTTGGAAAAGTTTGAGAAGGATTGATATTCTGTCTTAAATGTTTGATAGAATTCACTAGTAAAATCATCAGGTGCAGGGCTTTGTTTTGTTGGGAGATTTTATTTACTTTTTATTTTCCTTTGTCTCTTAGAACCTTTCTTGGTTTAAGTTTATTTTGTCTGATGTTAATATAACCACCCTGTTCTCTTTTGGTTCCTGTTTGTACAAAATAACCTTTTCTGTCCTTTTACTTTCAGCCTATTTGTGTCTTTGGGTGTAAAGTGAGCTTCTCATAGCCAGCATATGGTTGGATCATGTGTTTTTATCCATTCTGCTGTTCTTTTTGATTGGAGAGATTCATTTACATTTGAAGTAATTGCTGATAAGGAGTCATATGCTTTTTTCATTTTGCTGTATGTTTTCTATATGCCTTACAGCTTTTTTTTTTGTCCCTGATTTCCTGCATTATTGTATTCTCTTGTGTTCAGTTGATATTTTATAGTGAAATGTTCAAATTCCTTTCTCATTTCTCTTTGTGTATATTCTATAGCTGTTTTCTTTGTGGTTATGTTAGCGATTACATTTAGCATCCAGCATTATAACACTCTGGCTTGAATTTATACCAGCTTAACTTTAATCACATATAAAAGCTCTTGTTCCTGGGGCACCTGGGTGGCTCAGTCGGTTAAGCGTCCCGACTTTGGCTCAGGTCATGATCTCACAGTCCGTGAGTTCGAGCCCCACATTGGGCTCTGTGCTGACAGCTCAGAGCCTGGAGCCTGCTTCAGATTCTGTGTCTCCCTCTCTCTCTGACCCTCCCCCGTTCATGCTCTCTCTCTCTCTCTCTCTCTCTGTCTCAAAAATAAGTAAATGTTAAAAAAAAAATTTTAAAGCTCTGTTCCTTTATAGCTCTGTCCCTACCCTTTTTGGTTTTTGGTGTCACAAGTACATTTTTATACCTGTGTGCCTCAAAACAAACTAATGATTGGGTTTTTTTAATTTTTATTTATTTTTTAACATTTATTTATTTTTGAGAGACAGAGCACAAGTGGGGGAGGGGCAGAGAGAGAGGGAGACACAGAATCCGAAGCAGGCTCCAGGCTCTGAGCTGTTAGCATAGAGCCTGATGTGGGGCTTGAATCCAGGAACCATGAGATCATGACCTGAGCCGAAGTCAGACTCTCAACAGACTGAGGCACCCAGGCGCCAATTTTTATTTTTATTTTATTTTTTAATTTTTGTACCCCTAAGTTTTAATTTTTAATTTTTTAGAGAGAGAGAGCATGTGTGAGCTGGGGGAGAAGGTTAGAAGGAGAGGGAGAGAGAAAGAGAAGGGAAGGGAAAGAAAATCTCAAGCAGGCTCTGCCTGATGCGGGGCTCAATCCCACGACCCTGGGATCATGACCTGAGACAAAATCAAGAGTCGGACGCTCAACTGACTGAGCCACCCAGGCACCTCCTAATGATTTTTTTTTTAATCCATTAATCTCTTAAGTTATATAGAAAAAATGTGGAATTACAAACTAAAGCTAACAATAACACTAACTTTTAAACTGATAATTTTTTTAAAAAAATGTCTCTTATTATATATTTATTTAAAGTTTATATATTTTTTAGCAGGAGTGAGAGCATGCATGTGCGTGAGCTGGGGAGGGGTAGAGAGAGAATTCCAAGCAGGATCTGTGCTGTCAGAGCTGAACCTAATAACATGGGGCTCAATCTCATGAACTGAACTGTGAGATCATGACCTGAAATCAAGAGTTGGACACTTAACCAACTGACCCACTCAGGCGCCCCATAAAAAACATGTATTTTTTAAATCGTGATGAAAGCACAATGTGGAGTTGCAAAGCACTATTACAATAGAACAAACATTTTTAGAAATTCAAGTATAATTAACGTACAGTGTTCTATCAGTTTCGGGTGTACAAAATGGTAGACTAGCTTTTATTATATTATGCATGCACTTACCTTTACTGAGATCTTTATTTTGCCACATGACTTTGAGTTACTGTCTGGTGACCTTTTATTTCACTCTGTAGCACTCCCTGGAGCATTTCTTGCAGTGCAGGTGTAGTGGTCACAAACTCCTTTAGCTTTTATTTATTTGGGACTATGTTAATTTCTTCCCCACTCTTTTTTTTCAACGTTTATTTTATTTTTGGGACAGAGAGAGACAGAGCATGAACGGGCGAGGGGCAGAGAGAGAGGGAGACACAGAATCGGAAACAGGCTCCAGGCTCTGAGCCATCAGCCCAGAGCCCGATGCGGGGCTCGAACTCACGGACCGCGAGATCGTGACCTGGCTGAAGTCGGACGCTTAACCGACTGCGCCACCCAGGCGCCCCTCTTCCCCACTCTTAAATGACGGTTTTGCTTCATATTGAGTTGACAGATTTTGAGTTGACAGATATTCTTTTAGCGCCTGAATATATTGATGCACTGTCCTCTGGTCTCCAAACTTTATGATGGGAAATCTGTTGGTGATGTTTTCGAGGGTACTTGTATGTGACAAGTCATTTCTCTCTGCTTTCAAGATTCTCTGTTAGTGCTCTGTTAGTATAGTGTTGATTATAATATGTTTTGGTAGGTGTCTCTTTGAGTTCATCATATTTGGGGTTTGTTGAGTCTCTTGGATGTTTGTATTCATGTCTTTCATCAATTCTGGGACGTTTTCAGTCATTATGTCCTCAAATAGTCTCTCAGCCGCCACCGTTTCCTCTTCTGGGACTCCCACAATGCATATGTTGGTATGCTTGCTGGTGTCCCAGGGGTGTCAGTCTGTATTCACCTTTTTCAATCTTTTTTTCCTCAGTTGTCATCATTTCCATTTATTTTGAGAGTGTGCAAGGAGGGGAGGGGGCAGAGAGAGAGAACCCCAAGCAGGCTCCTTGCTGACAGCAGAGAGCCTGATGCAGGACTCGAACTCACAAACAGTGAAATCATAACCTGAGCTGAAATCAAGAGTCAGATGCTTGAATGACTGAGCCCCCCCAGACACCCCTTATTTGTTCTTGTTTTTTAATTGTTGTATGCTGTCTCTGTGCTGAGGATCTGCTTGAGATGTAAACTTCAGGTCTTCTCAGATCTTTTCTTAGCCTGCACCCTTGCCTGGGCACATGTAATTTCCTCTAATTTCTTCTGTGTATGCAGTTGTCTTTGAATGTTCTAGTTTTTAATTTCTCCCCAGAAAGAAAACAGAGAAAAATGCTGTGGTAGAAAAAAAGGTCACCAGCCCTTTAAATCTCCTGCAGGTCACTTGAGCCAGAGGGGGAGGGGCTATGACAGTGGTCTCCCACCTGTTTCCTTCAGATCCGGCTTGAGTGGGTAACCCCCACCCACCCCCATTTGTGGGATAGTCCTATGCCCACCGTGGCTCCCACACGTTGTGTGTAAGCTGCTCCATGAGTAGGTGCACCACCAGCCTGCCGAGGGGCTGGGGCTGGGAGACGGGTGGCTGCTGCCGTGCTGCTGCAGTTTCCCCTCCAAGCCTCCCCCTGGAAGTTCGCAAGCCTGGGACAGAACTCCAGAGTTACAGCAGACAAGGTGCTGCCGGTGCCGTTGGTGCCCAGGTGGGAGACAGGTTCCTGGGGCTTCCTGCTCGGCCACCTTCCCAGAGTCCTCTGCAGCATTCACTTTGCAGGCAGAGTTCTCAGCTTTGGTTCTGTTTTTCATGGAATTAAAAAAGCTTGAAATCTCAAGAGTTGGAAGGACCCGAGGGCTTCATCATGGAGACTCATTCTTAATTGCTCAGACAGCTTCGAAATTGGCTGATAAATACTTGACTCTGTAATTCAGTTATTTTACTTTATACGTGTTCTTTTCCACATGCAGAATAAAGAGAAACTACTGGAAGATTGTCAGCTGCAGAAAGTTGGTCTCATAAGTCAGGTGAAAGAACTTCAAGAAAAGTTGAACCGTCTGGTGCATTCTGTGAACTTCCAGAACAGTGAGACAGAGGATTTCAAATTTCAGCAGCCATTGGCATCTTCACATGCTTTAGAAAATAATTTGAGTGACAGTTCCAGTAATGGTGAAGAAACTGACAAATTGCCTCTTGTTGATGCATTTCATATTGATAAAACCACGTGTGATCTAATTGACCTTAGTGGAAATCAGGATTCATTGGTAAGAAATGAAATGCCAAATGTTCCCATGGAAGATAGGGTTGATTTGCAGGATGGATCACTTTGTTTACAAGTGAGCCTGCACAGTGGCTCCCATGACCTAACCCATACCCAGGAGCCCGGTCCTGTGAAGAACGCACTCAGGGCAATGGACCTGTCTTCCTGGAGCTCACCTGAGGTTGTCAGGAAGGACTCGACCCTTGAGCCTGCACCCAGCCTGCCCTTGACGCCCTGCTCAGATGCCCTGAGCTTGGATGCCTCTGTGCAGGACAGGACAAGTGCCTCACTTCAGGCTGACGAGTTGGACCTGCTTTGGTACCTGGGCGGGTCAGCGGCAGGAAAGGCCTCCAGGTGGGCAGAGTCTCCATTGGTTGTAGACAGGGCTCCCTCCACTGACCACCATGTGCAGCGGACGGCCGTGGTAAGTGTTCATCCCTGGGTGGTGCCCCGGTTCAGCGTCTGTGGGATGCCCAGGGCCCCAGCGTGTTCCCATGGGAATGTATTTGCAGGGCCCACAGTATCATAGCTGCGGCCATTGTTGGTTCATCTCCTGACAGGGCCTGTGGGCCAGGTGTAGGTTCGCACCCGACAATCCCCTGGTCAGCTTTCCGCAGCGCCAACCACAGTCCATTGTAATGTGAATAATTAGGACTTCGATTATTCTTACAAACACGTGCCATGCATCAGTCCTACTCAGACACTCCCGCCAGGCCTGCGCACACTCACCAGTGGCGGACTCGAGAAGTACAGTCGTAAACCCATCTTCCTGTGTAGTTTTTGTTCAGGTTCTTTGGCTGGAATCTGTTTCCTGGATTTATTTTAATAGATTATACATATAATACTAATTTATTTCAAAAACAATTATTTTTGAGATAAATCATATCTTCTTACATAATAATTTTGAGATTTTGCATATCCTGGATTAGATACAATAAAAACCAACTAACAGAGGACTTTGTTATTTGAGATACACGTATATTACCATACACACTACCATAAAAATTACCTTTAATCTGAAATATTTGCTGTTGACTTCTTTAAAATAATCCTAGAGAACAGTGGCTGGGTTTGTTTAAATTCTTTAAAGCCCGTGATTTCATTATGTCCACAGGTGTGAAACATGTGTTGGGTTCTGTATGGGTAAATGATAAATTCAGACCTTAGAAAGTTTCCCTCTGACCAGTTTAGTTCTGTGATGTATTAAGTTACTATTTGACGACCGTTTAAAAACCTGCCTATTTGAACAGGAGAAAGATGTTGAAGATTTTATTGTAACATCTCTTGATGCTCAAGAAAAGCCCAGATCCTCTCCTGTTGGGTTCGAAGGAAAAAACAGCAGAAGTGATAATGGTGAGTCAGTCTTTTTAACTCTAAGGTTTTAGGGGACAGAACAGCATGGAGGCCCCCAGCTTGGCGTTCGCTACACTTGCCATGCACACTGGCTGTGCCCGTCTGCGTCTCTGTCCTCTGTGCTCAGTGGCACCTGAAGGCCTGATGTTGCGCTACTCTGGAAAGCTTGGTTGTGCACTTCGTAGAGTGCGGTCCCTGCACTCAACACCCAGACATCCTCACTGGCGCCCTGCACGGGAGCGAGGCTGTGCCGTGTGGGCCCCGAGAGGAGACCCTCACGTTTCCGGCGGTTCCTGCATCTTCCTCTGGATGTTTGTAGCAGGGTCGTCGGCATGGGGGTCCTTGAGAGCGCGCACGGTGACGCCGTGCTCTTCCTGGGGCATCAGGGCAGACAGTGCGCGGCGCCAGCGTGGACCCCTTGGCAGCGGTGTCTGCCAGATTTTATTCTGAGTTTTCCTTTTAGATTGCTTGGTGTCAGGGAGCGGGGATGTACTCGGAGACCATGTCTGTGGTCTCTTGTTTCTCAGACTCGGACACACCAGTGTTAGCCTCCAGTAATGATTGTTGCCTGCGTCATCATTAGGATAGTTGCCAGTCATGACCTTCTAACCTTGTAATTTTTTCTATAATAGTTGGCTTTTGATAAGTCCATCGCTTCAGGAGATGTTTCAGCATTTTTAAAAAAAGTCATCATTGGCTTAATTCAGTGCCTTTTAAAACTAGACCGTAGTGAAGTACAGTTCATGGACGCTTCAGCCTGTGCAGAATAGGGCCAGCAACGTTTTAATTTCAGTTTTGAGTTATTCCATGGAGTAAGTGCCCGGAGTGGTTCTGCACAGTGCCTTCCAGCCTCCCCACTCCGAACCACTGTTCCCTGGGGATGCCCACGTTCAGCTTCCAGAAATTTGTTCTGATACAGATTTCTAAGTCACATTTGCTAGTTACAGAACATGTTTAAACTTCTGGCTGCCAATTTCTTCTACTTTCCTTCCTTGTTTTTCTAAGGTGGCCCCGTTGTCCCGCTCTGTCCCCTCACCACAGAGCATGTGTGTTCTGAGCACCCCTGTCAGATTCCCGCAGACCTTCTGGGACCAAGGGTCCTCTCCCAGACAGCTGGTTTCCTTTCTCCTTGCTTCTTCCTATTCTCCATCATGGGTCCTGCCCATGCTGTCTGTAGGCATGGGCATGCACTGCCCACATGACCTTCACCTGCCCACCTGACCTTCATGTGCTGTCTCTGCTTGCCTGGTCAGACCCCATGTCCCTCCTTGGTAGTCCTAGTTTTGACAAAGTGTGTTCTCTAGAAGCATTTGCAGAAAAAGCATGTGTGAGGTGGGTTTTCTGAGAATGTCTGCACCTTCTTGATGTTTGTTGATAGTTTGGGCTTGGTGCAGACTCATGGGTGACAAGTCATGTTCCTTCAGACTCCTGAGTGCCTGCCTGCCTGCCTGCCATCCAGACCCTGATGTTACCCAGCACCACGGTGGTCCCTTGCCGCCAAGCACCTGGGCGCAGCGCTGCCGGCTTACCGGGAACAAGTCCTTCTGCCCTGAGTGCGTCTTCCTTCTTCCTGGGATGTGGGTCACTTCCTTGTGGCTCTCATCTTGCCATACTTCCTGTTAATCACTGGACTCATTTTCTTATTTTCTCATTTTTTCTGTTTCCACTTCTTTGTACTTACGTTCTTACTTGTTAAAGAGCTTTGTGAGAATTTATCCCTTAATCTTCACATCAAATGCTCCCATTTCTGCTGTGTCTTAATTTCCAAGAGTTGTTCTTTCTCATCCTCTTTTCCTTTCTCTCGAAACTTCCTTTCCTTGTTTACGAATAATATTTTCTCTCTTACTTCTCTGAAGATATTCTGGGTTTTCTGAAGTTTTCTTGTGTTTGCTGCCTTTTTTGTATTTCCTCCAGCTCTTTGAGTCTGCTTCGCGTTGTTTTGTGTGTCTGAGTGTTCCTTGGCGTGTCTGAGGCCTTCAGCTTCTTAGCAGGGCAGTCGTCAGCAACTCACTGGAAGCTCTGTGCTCAGAGGGGCCTTGCCGGGGACACTGAGCCCCTCATGCCCACCCGAGCTTGGTGCCAGTCGGAGAAGCAGTTGCGAGGACTGACCCTGCTTTTCTTAGGATGCCTCCCTCCGCTTTCCAGGTCTCCGTGGACTGGCGGCGGGCTGCAGGCTCAGGGACCTACCGCATGCTGTTGAGCGGTGTCCCATTCCTTTCTGAGGCCCCTCCCATCAGGAGCTCCTGGTGTCTCAGATGCTAGACTGTTGAGGGCTCTCCACTTTAGGCTGGCTGCTCTCAGGGTTGGTCTCCACCCACCCCATCAGGCATGTTCACCTTTTCCTGGCCAGACGCTTGCTGCTCGTCCCGCAGCCTGCACGGGGGCCTCGGGCTGACGTCTTCCATGTCTGCACAGCCACCTCCGGGTGCACTGGGTGGGCCCTGCGGGCGCGTCAGCCACGGTGCTTGCCGTGTGAGCCCTGCGGGCTCTGTCCTGTCTTCGGGGAATAAGGAGACATACTTCTGCACGAGAGTAAACATGAGCCAAGGTACTACGAAGGGTTTTATGTTGGAGTCACAGGTGTTAACATGGTAAACCTGAAAACTTTTTCTTCATCTGTGTGGTTGTGTAGTCTTAGGTGTTTATAAACATGTTTTTGCCGTCTTTGGTGGTTTGTTGATGTCGTCTTCAGGGCCGGGGCCTCATGTGGCACCATGAAGCAGGGGTCTGGCCACATCTCTGGCACTTGCAGGGTGTCCCCCAGTACACTGGCAGAGAGTTGGAGTGTAGACCCTGACTTTGTGCTGTGTTTTTAGGTGATGGCTTGGGGTTTGGAGACCTGCTGAGCCAAGGTTCGGGAAGACTCGATGCCCCCACAGCAAGTCCTGTGGTGCTGCTTCCTGCCTCTGGAAGGTTCCCACAGCCGCTGGAAGCCATGAAGGAGAAGGAAGTCCATCCGAAACAAGTGAAGGTAAGGGCTGGCGGGAGCAGGGTGCGCGGTGTCGATGGGCCTCCGTGTGCGGCCGCCGTGATTGCCCTGTGGGTGCCACGTCAGGGTGCGTGCGTCACACCACAGGGCCAGCTGCGTGCGGTCTCGCTGTGCTCTAACGTGTTTCCATAGGGGGAGAGTCTGCTGGCGTGGGGAGCTTGGGATCAGGTATCCCAGGCGAGAGCCCAGCATGGCAGGTGGGGGGGTGGGGGGAGTGGGGCGGTAGGGGAGAGCTGTGGGAGCTTCGGGCGCTGGGGTCCCGAGAGCAGGACCAGCTCTTCCTGCACCTGCTGCGGCACAGCGCACAGGGGACTTTCAGGGGTGGCTGTTGTGGTGAATCACAAAAGGCAAAAAATAAGGTTAATCTTCCTGAATTGAGTTCAGGTATCACAATGCGTGACCCTCTGGGGAGAAGTGGTTGTAAGTTTTGTTTGGTTTTGGAGATTGACCTTTAGCCTTTCCTAAAACAACTGGGGCCTGTGCTCGTGACTGGGCCTCCCTCCACCAGGTGCCTGCCTGGGACCGAGCAGCGGAGCAGGGACCGCATGACCCACTCTGCTGACACAGGGCTGCGGGGCCACATTGGAGAGCCCAGCCCACTCTGCTGTGGGAGCTGCTGCTCGGGAGGGGTTGTCTCTGTGTCCTCAGGGCCTAGACCATTCTGCCTTCTGCTCTCCGCTCTTTTTTGTGTGTCCCTGAAGTTGACACTTCAGAAGAAAGGTTACCTGCACTCGTGTAGCAGTGCAGGCAGTTTTGATGGGCAGCCTCAGCTCTGACTCAGCTGGCTTGAACGGCACACAACATTTATCACTGGACCATACTGGGAGTTGGCTCCTGGTGCGCTGGCTCCAAGTGTATACCTAGAGAGGCCACCAGTGTCCCCACACTCGCTCATTCCTTCCCTGTGCCACCAACAGGAAGCCTGTGGCACTTCTAGGGTCAGGCAAAGCATGGGCCCAGTGCTTCCTTTGAGGCTGTTTTCCAGGAATATCCCTCCCGTCCCCTGCCCCCACCCCCCGTCTTTCATTGGCAGACCTGGTCACACGGCCACCGAGACCAGCCGTCCTCAGCCCCGTTGACGAGCTGGGCTCATACTGACCCACTGCTGACAGGGAGTCATTGTGTGAACCACCTGCCGCAGCCCCGCTCGCCCACTGCTGCTGGTCCCCAGGTCACGGAGCTGGGCCCTTGGTGACCTCTCACAGCCAAACTCCACAGATCTAAAGCCCCTTGTGCCCTGGGGTCAGAGCCTGGTTCTCACCAGAGGAGGGAGGAGAGAAGCCACACTCAGCTTGCTGCGGCTGAACTGGGAGCAGAATTTAAAAACACTTTTTCTAGTTTTAATTGATATGTGACACTGTGTAAGCTTCAGGTATACAGTGTGTTGATTTAATACACACATGTTGTTTACACAGTGATCCCACAGTAAAATTGGTTAACGCCTCCATCACCCAGAACTTTTAATAAGTTTTCTTTTCTCTCACCAGTTTAGTGAATCATTTTTCGTCAAAACCACTGGCACAGACTTGGCTGAATAAGCAAACCAATACAATGTCACTGTTGTGTTTTATTCACATGGTGAAAACATTCCTGTTACATTGCTATTACAATGCCATCAAAAGAAAATGATTTTGATGTTAAGTAAAATCTCCAAAATTGTGTTCATCTTGCTCCTTTAAGAATTGAAATTGGAGAGGCATCTGGGTGGCTCAATCAGTTAGTTAAGTGTCCGATTCGTGATTTTGTGTCAGGTCATGATCCCAGCCCCGTGTTGGGCGGGCTCCATGCTGAGTGTTGAGCCTGCTTGGGATTTCTCTCTCTCTCTCTCTCTCTCTCTCTCTCTCTCTCTCTCTCTCTCCACCTCCCCTCCCCTGCTCATACTCTCTCTCTCTGAAAAATTTTTTTGATACGGGAGTATGTTTTTTGGCTGTTTTTTTTAATTTCCTTTTTTGCATTCCTTAATTTTCTACGTGACATAGAATGTTAAAGATATGTTCTGTTAGTGTTTCCAATCCAGGCAGTCTCATGTTAGAGGAGTTTGTAATTTTTAAGGAATAAACGTGGTTCTGATGACAATTCTACGTACTTAGGCTTTGAGGTTTAACACTAGATGATTGAAAAAGGAAAACCAGAAAGAAGCCCAGTACTTGCCCTGGAGCCCTTTTGCAAAGCAACCGAGGTTGCCTGCAGGGGGCTGTGTGGATGCTGGGAAGTTAGCCTGCAGGTCTCTGTTCGCTTCAGTCGGAACCAGCGACTTCAGTATTCCTGATGTCTGGGTATTTTCTGGGAGGTTTCTCAGGTCACTCTGGTTTAAGTTGCCACCTGTGTTTCTGGAGCGTGAAGCCACACTGCTCACCGTGAGGGACGACTGCGCCAAGAGTCAAGTCGTCTGACAGCTGGCCCCACGAGGCAGAGTGGTGCCCGCAGGGGCTGAGTCTCAGGACCGCGGTGTGGTCACGGCTCTGGGGGCCCTGAAGCTGGGGATACTGGGGGGGGGGGGGCGTCCCTGAGCAAGGGGTTTGGGTGGCCAGGCTTGGACTCCTCAAGAGCCCTGCTGGAAGCAGCTATGAATGGGGGCGAGTGATTGGCCTATGGCGCACCGTGCATCAGCTGGAGCAGACAGGGGCACCCGAGTGACAGGCCGACATGGGAGGTCACGAGAAGGGTGGGCTGGTCACAGCGATGCAGGTTCCTGAACAGAATGCCAGTCCTGAGGACAGGGTTCTGGAACCTCCTTGGACCCAGTGGTTATATCTGTGGTACCCAAGGTCCAAACCGATTGCAGACCTCCAGGCCCCAGCCAGCATCGGACCCCAGGGGTCCTGTGACATCACTGAAGGGTGCGATGGCCTCACGGGAAGCTTTGCTCTCGGAAAGGCGCAGGCAGAGTACCTCCCTCGCCACTGGCACTCTTTCTGCGTTTATCAGGAGAGTGTTGAAAAGGTGGCAAGTGACAACGTCAGCCCTCCCTATCTCTGCAAGCAGAGGACGAGGGTGGACGGGTGGATGCAGGAGGTCGTAGACCTCCAGCCGCACCCACAGGGGCCGCCATCTGGGCCGCTAGACCTGGCGTCTAGCAAACGGAAGGTTTTTTAAAGTAAAAGTGTTTCTAGGGTCATTAAAGAGAATTGTCTTTAAGGTAAGCGTCACGTGGGGTTTGGGTGTTTTGTACTTTTGTGTTAGTATTTTACGTTTTTGGGTCCCATGATTGAAGTCCTAGCAAAACCTATTTCTGGTTAAATAGTTGTACTCTGTTATAGCTTCCCGTTGCTACTTCCATACTTCCCTGTTTGAGACACCTATTGCCATCTATTCTCCAGAGTTTAGGCCTCACATGCCCCTTGAGTGGATCTTTGCACGTGGAGTGAGGACCTTCGTGGTTACTTTGGACACTGTGTGGCCCCCAACCTGGGGGCAGCTCTGGGGAGGCCCCACCATGAGCCCCACCCAGGATTCGTGAAGGGATGGTAGGGGTGGCATCCACCGTGCAGACCCTGGTGGGGCGTCCTTGGAGTAGCTTAAGCAGAAATTGTCCTTCAAACCATTTTTCTAGCAGTCTCTGAAGGTTACGGGGGAGGAAAGTTTGAAAATCTCACAGAACGGCAGGATCTGCTCTTTGATACAAGCCATGGGGGTGCTATGTGTGTGGCTCTAGTGAGCATTCGCGAGTGGGGGGCAGGGTGCTGAACGCATGACTAGCTTCAAGCTCCTTTTCCCTCTTTCTGAAATGCACGTCCCGTTGCAGGCTTTGCTGCAGATGGTGTGTGATGAGAGCCACCACATACTGGCCTTGTCCGAGTACCGTGGGCCGCCTAGCGCCCTGAGCAAGGGCGAGCCAAGTGCCTCCCTCGAGCGATTCCCAAGGGAAGGCCCTGGCCTGTTGGAGGCAATCCCGGCCCTGAGGAGGCACCCGAGCCCCACACTCCTAAAGGGAGAGAAGGTATGGTGGCATTCTGCCTGAAAGAAAATAGGCTGTGGGCATGGAGCACTTTGAGTGAGTTGCTTGGCCAAATGAGTGGAATAAAGGGAAGAACAGGGTCGTCAGTGGACACAGGGGCCGTGCTCCTGGCTAGTCACCTTCTCAGTCATGTTTGCCAGCACATTCCAGCCCTGTAAGGGCAAGAGAGGCCGTGGGAAGATGTGTGGCGGGGCTCAGTGGGAGGAGGACATGGGGCCGGGCCTGAGCCCACAGGGTCTCAGTGCCCACTTTGCAACCAAGGACCCGGGGCGGCACAGAGCGAGAGCCAGGTGCTGAACCCTGTCCAAGGCCACAGGGGGCGGAGGGAGCGGTGGGCAAGAGGGCAGTGCCGGGCCCAGGCCTACAGTGGGGGCGGGAGCAGCCAGTCAGCGGGCACCCGCCCCAGGGCCTGGCAGAGCAGCGGTGGGGAAGGAGGTTTGCCTGCCAACGTTTTCTCAGTCTTACCTGCTGTCTCCTTCAGCACCTTCTTCGTTCACGATGGCGGGCTTGGCTTTTCGTGCCCTGGGCTGGTCGTGGTCTTCTGTTGGGTGGTCTGCTTCAGCCTGCAGGGTGCATTTATGGAAACACCGAACTGTTCGCTCCAATATTTTAGGAGTTTCCTGACATGTGCCTCGACTGGAGAGGAGAGTTTCTACAGATCGTTCAGGAGGCGTTTGGAAAAGAACGGGAGATGCTGAGGGCCGAGTTGCAGCCCCGGCCCTGCGGCTCTGACCCCGGGGACCACAGCTCCCTGTTGCAGAGGCTAGAGAAGGTGGTCCAGGAGCAGGTGAGCACGTGCCTCGATTTAGTGCCCAGAGCCACTGACGGTGAATTTTGGTCCCTGTGTTTCCCCTGACCTTGGAGTGTGGTAGTGACTGAGGAGGAATGCAAATAGAATCTATTCTGGAAATATCCTGCCTTTCCTTGGAAACAGAGTGGTGCTAAGTGGTCCGGCCCAGGCTGTGCGTGGGAGCCCGGCACTGTGAGGGCCCTGGGGGGCCTGCTTCCCCAAGGTCCCTTGTAGGAGAGGGCACTAGAATCCAGATGCAGGGTCTGTGGCAGGTCAGAGCAGCCTCTGGCACAGACCAGGGTGCAAGTGAGGCCTGAAGGTCCCCAGGGGCCTCTGTGCCTGTGTTCTAGGCCACCTTTGTCCTGTGAATTTGTTCTTGCTCGGTCCCCAAGCTTGTGCCCATGAAGCTGGAAGCAAGAATTTGTGGACAGTGGGCTGTTTGTGCCTGGAGATGCTGGCCTGGCCCAGCCTCCCCCGCCCTTGGGACGTGCTCCCTGCTCCCCCGTCTAGGGGGTGCTCCTCCACGTGGCCATGTCTGTGACCCTGCTCTCCCTCCTTTGCCACCCCGGCTCCGGGGATACCTGCAGGAAAAGTCCTTGGAGCACCTTCGCTTGTCAGACCGGAGCAGCCTGCTGTCCGAGATCCAGGCTCTGCGCGCCCAGCTGCGGATGACTCACCTGCAGAACCAGGAGAAGCTGCAGCAGCTGTGTGCGGCGCTGACCAGCGCGGAGGCCCGCGGGAGCCGGCAGGAGCACCAGCTGCGCAGGCAGGGTGAGCACTGCCCCTCCCGCTGCCCAGCACTGGGGCTGGTCTGTCCGGGTCCCTGGATATGGGGACCATCGGCCTCGGCATTTCTTAGTTCACAGAACTCCTGGAAAAGCGACTCTGTGGCACCGCCCAGGCAGTGGGGGGTCTGTATTGGTGTGAGCGCTGGACACCAGCAGGACCGTGTCTGGGAGTCCCTGGGGCTTGCACTAGGTCTAAGCAGCCTGTTTTACGCGTTTATGTTAATTTAGGTTCCTTGGGACTTTCTTATAGATACTCACATCATCTCTGAATAAAAAGCATTTTGTTTTCTCCTTCCCATCTGCCACCTCCTCCTACTGATTGCTCCAGTTAGGCCGTCGCGTGCCGCCGTGGCAGGCGTCCGGCCATAGGAGAGGTGTTCCGCCTCACACCCTCACACAGGCTGCCAGCAGTGGTCTCTGCACATGCTCTCCATCCACGTGCACAGCCCCTTCTCTTCCTAGTGCTGGGTGCCGAATGATGGGCCAGGCCTTGCAATGCTTTGTGTTTGGGCCATGTTGCATTACCTCGTGAGCATTTCTGGGCCGGACTTACTGGTATTTTGCATCTAAATGCATGAGGGCTACTGGTGTGTAGCTTCCAGTCTCTGAGTTCTGGTGTGGGAGTAGTGCCAGCCTCATGGAGGATTGACCGTCTCTTTCCCTTCCTTTTTCCCCGGGAGACTATAGAGAACCAGGGTTATTTCTTTGCTAAGTCTTGGGAGAGTTCTCTCCCAAGAACTGCTAGGGAAGCTGCTAGGGTCGAGGCAGTCTCTGTTGGGAAGCACGAAGTGTTGGAGTGATGGGTGAGGTGGCGATTTAGGACGACTGTGGAGACGGACACACCTGGTCTTCGTGCACGTCCATCTCGGCTCAATCCTCACTCCTGCCTCCAGGAGACCCCGGACCTGAACAGCTGGCCCTGGGGAGCCGTGTCTGCACGGCCTCTGGTCTGCACGGCCACTCTGCCTGCACGACTCTGGGTGCCCCGAGGCCTGGAGGGAATGAGCCTCCGGTGTCCTGGCCATCGGCCTGGAAAACTCATTTTCCCTGAGAGTGAATACATCTCCCTCTCCGTACTGGTTTGTCTTCAGTTTGTGAAATCATTTGTACAGCTCACCCGAGATTCACGAGTAATGGTATCTTATGTCCCCTAACGTCTTTCTCAGTTGAGTTATTGGCATACAAGGTTGAGCAGGAAAAACGTATAGCAAGTGACGTACAGAAAACGCTGAATGAAGAGCAAGAGAAAGCCAGCAGCGTTCGGAAGCTCCTGGTGGTAGAGCAGACCGTCGTCAGAGACTTAAGATCTGAGCTCCGCGAGTGTAAACAGGACAACGAGAGGCTGCTGGCATCCCTCAGCGAGGCACAGAAGGAGGTCCTCCAGCTGAGGTGGGGGCCCTAATCCTCCTCCCACACAGCACCTCCTGGCTCCCGGGTTCTGTCCGCACTTTTGTCGAGGAACGCGGCATGTGCGCGTGTTGTGATAGGTGCCCCGGGTCTGTCTACGGCCCAGGCGCTGCAGCCTGGTGTGTCGCTCCCTCTCCTGCACAGGTCTGTGTTGGACAGCAAGGAGAGCAACCTGAAGGCCGCGCTGCAGGAGCTGGAGAGCGAGCGCGGGAAGGAGCGTGCCCTGCAGAGCCGGCTGGAGGAGGAGCAGCTGCAGCACCTGCAGAGGGAGGGCCAGAGCTCCAAGACCCTGGAGGTGCCTGGGCGCTGGGCTGGCGGGGGGCGGTGGGGCCAGCAGGTGGGGGGGTTGGTGGGGGGCAGTGGGGCTGGCAGGTGGGAGCGCAGCTCCTCATAGGGCCCAGCTCCCCGTCTCCCTGTGGTCACGTTCCTGGTGGCAGGGTGTAACAGCAGTGAAGCAGGCCTGCGTCTGCGGTACAGCAGCGTTTTCGTGGTGACAGACGGGTGCTCACAACCCCCACTGTCTGGCCGCACGGAGCACAGCCTCGGAAGTGCGTGCCAGACTGCATAAATGGCAGTGACCCGGCTTCTCTGTGCAGTGGAGGTTGTGTGTGTGAATTGGCATGCTGTTTGGCATCTCTGATGGCCACGGGTCTGGCAGGTGCTCTGTGTTCCTCAGTCCCAGGGCTGGGCAAAAGCGTCTTTCACCCACCCGGGGACTGTGGCTTGGCTAAAACATCGTGTGTCTGAGTGTCCAGGGTGTTGTGGTTCTAGGGAAGGTGTGCATTTACCGAACACTGCTTCAGGAAAGTACTTCATCCCTGAATAAAAATGGCAAAGTAACAGAAGAATTGTTACATGGTTTCCTTGTACCTGTAGGATAAAGAAGTGTAATTGCTAGGTCGAAGAATATGAGCAGAAATTGGGGCAGGAAGATGGTTTTGACACTTCTCTTGATTTGCTTTTTCCCATCTTTTCCCTGATACAGGAGCTAAGACTCTCTTTGGAGAAGCAGCACGCTCAGAGTAATAGACTGTGCGTTGCACTGAAGCACGAGCAGACGGCAAAGGACAACCTTCAGAAGGAGCTGCGGATCGAGGCCTCGCGCTGTGAGGCGCTGCTGGCGCAGGAGCGGAGCCAGCTGTCCGAGCTGCGGCGCAGCCTGGAGGCCGAGAAGGACCGGTCGCTGGAGCTGGCCACGGCCCTGCGCCACGAGCGCCTCCTGACGGAGCAGCTGAGCAGCCGAGCACAGGAGGCCCCGGCGCATCGCGCTCTGCTGAGGAAGCTGAAGGAAGAGAAGTCCCGCGCGGCGGAGCTGCAGGCGAGGCTGGAGCAGGTGCAGCGGCAGCTGGTGGCCGATGTGCAGAAGCAGCGTGCAGAGATCGAGAGGGAGAAGGAGGTAAGGGGCACGCAGACCTCCGCTGTGGAGCCCGCCCAGGCTTGGGAGCCGACAGAGGGGGAGAGTTCCTCACAGCAGCAGGCAGGACTAAAGCGCTCACAGGCGAGGCTGGCTGCACGGGAAGGACACAAGGACGCAAGAAGGAGAGCAGAGACGAGGCCCGGCCGGGCCGACACGGAGAAGAGGCAGGCTCGAGACAAGGAGAGACTGGTGAGAGCACCGCCGACCGCGTCGGCACCCAGCAGCCAGCCAGGGGGCCGAGAGCGCCACATGGGGGCTTGACCCTGGGCCACTCCTTCGTCCCGCTGGTCCGTGCGTCTGTCCCCTGCTGCCCCCTGGTTATCGCAGCTTTGTAGGTTTCCGTGTCGAGAAGCGTGAGTCTCCAACCTCGCTCGTTGTCAGGGCTTGGGTGTTCGGGGACCGTAGGGTTCTGGGGCCCAGCCTTGACTCTGCAGGTCACTTTGGGGGGTGAGGCCACCTCAGCGATGTTACCTCCACGAGTTGTGAGGTTGGAAGTCTGTCCGCGCGTTCAGGTCTTTGATTTCTTTCAGCCGCGTTTTGCTGTTTTCAGATGACGAGCGTTAACGCTGTGGTTCTGTTGTTCTGAGTGTTTTATTAGGGGTTGGTGTTGTCGTAAGTGGAACTGGTTTCTTCTTTCCGTGAGCAGATGGTTCCCTGCTGGCCTAGAGCAATGCCGTTGGGCCTTCTGTCGATCTTGCATCTTGTGCCCTTGCGCTTGTTTGTTGTTTCCAGTCATTTGATGCGTTCTTTGGGCTTTTCCACATATGAGATCACGTCACTTGCACGGAGATGTAGGTTTACTTCTTCCTTTCTGGTCCGGGTGCCTTTCGTCCCTCCTGCAGTGCTGAGTGGAGGTGCTGCAGCCTGTTACCCGTCCTCCACCCCCAGCTGTGACAGCTGCCCTTCATCAGAGGAGATTCTCAGGGTACCTGTTTTATTCAGACTTTTCGTGTCTTGTTTTCAGTCTCGAGAGTGAGTTGGATTTGTGGTTTTGGTGTCTTGAAATCTATGGTTTTTGCCCTTTATTCTCTTAATGTCACGTTTCTCGTTCGGTTTCACCGGTGGAGCCAGCCTTGCGCTCATGGGATGAATCCCACTTAACTTTGGTGTAGGATTCTTTTTTATATAGTGCTGGATTCGGTTTGCTAGTATTTTGTTAAGGATTCTGCATTTATGTTCATGAGAGATGTTGGTCTGTACTTTTACAGTTGTGGTGTCTTTTTTTTTATATTTATTTTTGAGAGAGAGACAGAGCATGAGCGAGGGAGGAGTAGAGAGAGAGGGAGACACAGAATCTGAAGCAGGCTCCAGGCTCTGAGCTGTCAGCACAGAGCCTGACATGGGACTCGAACTCATGAACCATGAGATAGATCATGACCTGAGCCAAAGGTGGACACTTAACCAACTGAGCCACCCAGGCACCCCATAAAGTTGTGGTGTCTTTGATTTTCATATTGGGATGATTTTTGCCCCACAGGTTGAGAAGTATTCCTTTTATTTTTTGGATAAAATGTTACTTTTAGGTATATTTTATGTCAACCAGAGCCTTTATTTCTGAGAAAATTATATCCTGTGTCTTCATGTGGATTCACGTATGTTTTGCCCTCTTTAAAAATCTTTTTTAGTGCTCACTTTGGCAGCACATATACTAAAAATATTTTTTAAAAACACACAAGGAAAATCAGTGGCCTGGTCTTTTCAGTGGTTAGCCTGCCGTGAAATGTTTGAGAAATGACTATGTGTTTCTAAAATCAAAAGTCTAGATTTCTAAGTGTTACAAAGATAAATCAGACCCCCAAATGGTATAAAATTAGTTTTGGAAGTTCATGTGGGGAGTGTGATCAGTATGTTTTAACAGCTTCACTGAGATACGTGGAGTTCACCAACCTGAATTGCGTCCTTTGCAGTTTTAGTACAAACTCAGAGCTGTGGACTCGTCACCACAGCCAGCTGTAGATTGTGTTCACCACCCCGTGTTGAGCCTCATGTTGTTAGCACTCACCCTCACTTCCTCCTCCAGCCCTGGCCACCGCGAGTCTACGGTCTGTTTGCAGATTGGCCTGTGCTGGACCTTCCTATGAAGGAACCACCCCCCACCCCCACCCCGCGCCCGCGTGGCCTTTCCTTGTCTGACTCCTTTCCTGATGTTTTTGGGGCTCGTCTGCGCTGCAGTGTGTGTCAGCGGCAATATGTTTTGCACGTGGCCTTCGCAGTGGCGTAAGCAGCCCTTGCTGTAGTGGCTGCATTTACCGCCCAGAGTCTTGGAAACGCAGGAGTAGTTTGGAGGTGTGACAGAATGGGCGCCGTGCGGCCGGGAAGCACCCCATGTTGTTTTGTGAAGGAAGCAAGTAGAGTCAAGCCCCAGATGGGCCTTCGTCACACAGCATCCCCAAACGTGTTCCAGATTGTGTGTGTGTGTGTGTGTGTGTGTGTGTGTGTGTGTGTGTGTATGTGTGTTTACTCTTTCTCCATGGGAACAGTGGCCTGTAGCCTTCGTGTGCCTCTTATGGACTTGCCCAAACTGTCTCTAAAGTTTTCAGCCAAACCCTATTATTGAATTTTGATTTTTTTTTTTTAAACGAGTGGTAATGTGATTGCTTAAAAAATGCAAAGAAAATGTTTCCTAAGTTAAATAAGTAATTATTCTTCATGATGCATCTTGGAAAGAATTTGAAGTGATTGATGTAGCCCCTTTGGTGTTATTTTCACTGTTGATGGTTAAAATTTTTTTAAAAAGTAAGTTTAATTTTTTATTTTATTTATTTTTTATTTTACTTATAAAAATAAACCTGTAGGTTTCTTGGTATGTTGCTTTCCTAACTTGGAAAATAGAGAAGTAATGATCCCTGTGTCCACACGAGGCTGGAGCGTTAATCGAGCGATGCCAGGAAGAGCCTGTGGTCCGCGATGCACGGGGCGTGTCGAGGGAGGCCCGGGCCGGGTTCTGGGCACCCGAGGTTCCCTCCCAATTTCGCGGGTATCTGTCTGCTTGTCTCCAGACACGGTGCCGCCTCCCGCCTCTCCTGGGGCCTCCTCACCCACGGAAGCTCCACCGGGCCGCCCCTGTCAGGCTTAGGGCTGCCCAGAGGGGTTTCCACCAGGTGACTCCCTCTGTCTCCCTGGAGGGGGCCCAGATCCCCGTGTCGGGCAGGAAGCTGGGGACTGTTCGCTTTCTCCCAGGCACCCGGCACACTCCGTGCTGAAGGGCATTTTGTAAGTGAGGCGGGTTGCACTTAGTGCAGGTGCTTGACCCTGCCCGTGTCTGTGTGTTGGCGTGTGTGCGCGCGCGCACGTCAAGGTCGGGTGCCAGAACTGGGGCCCGTGAAGACTCCTCCTCGTTTCGGCATGTGGCGTCCCCTCCTCACACTGGTGAGGGCCTGACAGTTCTCAGAAATGCAGGTCGAGCCTTCACCGCCGAGACCCCGTCCGTCTGAGGCAGGGGGGCTGCCCTGACTCCACGCCCCGTGTGGAGGGTGCCGGCCAGGGGCCGCCCCCTGCTGAGGGCGGGGCTTCTGCCTTCTGCTTCTGGAACGTGCGCACGAAGGGCCCGTCTGTTGTTTTGCCGTTGACAATAGCGAGAATTGGAACTGCGGCGCCAGCGTGACGAGCACAAGATCCGGCAGCTCCAGCGGACGGTTCAGGACCTGGAGGCGAAGGAGGAGGCCCGCCAGCGCCAGTGCCCGGAGTCGGCGCGGCTGCAGGAGCAGCGGCTCAGCCTGGAGAAGGTCCGGCAGCAGCTGCTCTGGGCCGCCGGGCTCCTGACCAGCTTCGTCAGCCAGACGGTGGACAGGTGAGCGCGAGGGCTCCGGCCACGCCCCCGCGAGCCCCGCCTCTTCCGTGAGGAGCGTGCACGAGGCTGGCGCCGGTGTTTGGTGTCAGGTGCCCATTTTTAAGCAACAGACGCTTGTTCCTCTCGCCACGTGTTGACACATTTGTGGGCAGCACTCTCTTGAAAGGTGTTGACAGCATGTGTTTTCTCTATTTGGATATGAGAGAAAAATCCAAGTTTCTTTTAGATCTGTTCTCCTCATGCCCTTTTACAATTGCTCACCACCCAGAGGGTCTGGACCTGACGCCAGGCCCCTCCTGCCCACTCCCACCGCGGTTGGGTGGGGCCAAGCATCCGCGCTGTGTCTGCCTTGCCCACGTCCTCAGGATCACCACTCACGTGACCAGGGTGTGTCTGCAGGGTTGAGGGACTGACAGGAGTGTTGACAGTATAATTAATTAAATTAATATTTGCCTTTTCCTGTAGGCACAGAAACTCAGCAAATACGGTTCTCCCGTCTGTAATTGGATTCGTTTATACAGCAGTATGATCTCTGAGCAGACTTTCCTGGGCTTCTCAGACTGTGCACAGGGCTGCACCACCTCAGGGCCACCACTGTCATTAGAGAGGCCCCGAGTCCCTAACTTTGTGGACAGGGCATGGCTTGACGAAGCAGTCATAAGCAAGTCCTCCTGGGGCTGCATTGGACCCATTTGTCATCTCTCCACGCGTTCCCTCCCAGTGGCTTTAGGTGATTATCAGTTGGGATCTGGGTGAACCCTCTAAGTGTCTGTTTATTTTCACAGGACAATTGGTGACTGGACATCATCAAATGAGAAAGCAGTGACGTCCTTACTGCACATGTTAGAGGAACTCAAGTCTGAGCTGAGCGCGCCCAACTCCTCCCAGGTGAGAGGTGGGGCTGCCTTTGCGGTTCCTTGTATCCCTCCTCCGCTGCCACAGAGAAGTGGGTGTCTTCTTGGGCATTGCCACGTGTTGCCCCCAGAAAGCCGCCTGACCTTGCCGATGCTCAGGCACTCCCCCCAGAGGGGCACGGGCTGCTCTGCCCCAGGCCCAGCCTGCTCCATGTACACCTGGGTTGAGACCCTGAGCTCTCAGCTGCGCCTGTCAGCTGCGTAGGAAGGTGATCAGAAGTTGTGGTTGCTGGGCAGCTGGGTGGCTCAGTTGGTTAAGCATCCGACTTTGGCTCAGGTCATGATCTGTCTCATGGTTCATGAGTTTGAGCCCCATTCGGGCTCTGTGCTGACAGCTCGGAGCCTGGAGCCTGCTTCAGATTCTGTGTCTCCCTCTCTCTCTGCCCCCCTCTTCCCCCAGCTCTCAAAAATAAACGTTAAAAAAAAAAAAGTCGTGGTGTCTGACACAAATTCCTGGTAGATGTTCCTTGGTAATCGTGAAAACATCCTGTTTATTGTGAAGGCAGCATGCATGTAGGCAGCAGGGGACCTTGTACCTGCTGAGCATGAGGGGTCAGTGTGGTGCATCCTGCCCTATTTACCAGTGCCTCTGTCAGTGTCCTGTGCCTGCTGTAGGCTGAGTGTGGCTCTGATTATGGAAGTAACGAACCTGTGTTAAGGGACTTACTCGTCGGACCCTCGGGGAAGAACCCACAGTTGCTCTCTGGGCCCTCTGTGTGCTCCCCTTGCTCACAGAGCTGTGAGCAGGCCGGTGCTCTGTAGCAGGCTGGCCCTGTCAATGCAGCCCAGGGCTGTGCGAAGTCAGTTTCTTACAGGATCAAAGAGAAATGTGCTTTGATCACTTACTGTTTTCCCTCCCATAGATGGACAGCTCTTCTTAGCCCCACAAGCTGTCACTGAACCCCAAATATGGGTAAAACTATAATTCCTGAAAATAACCAACAGTAAAAATACACAGTGTGTACCTTTTTTTTTTTTTTTTTAGACTAAGAGCGTGCGCGAACAGGTGAGGGGCAGAGACAGATTCTCAAGCAGGCTCCACCTCCAGCGCAGAGCCCAACTCGGGGTTCGATCTCACAACCTTGGGATCATGACCAGAGCTGAAATCAAATCAGCCGCTCAACCAACTGAGCCCCCAGGGACCCCTAAAGTGTGTACCTTTTAACAAAAAACGTATATCCATTAATTTTTTTCTCTTTTCAAGAAAAAAATGCCAGCAGAGCTGCAGGTCCAGCTGGTGGATGTCCTGCTGAAAGACAATGACTCCCTCACGAAAGCTCTGTGCACAGTGACCCAGGAGAAGGCTGAGCTGCGCCTGGCGGTGTCCCAGCTGGAGACGTCTCTGAAGCAGCACCTGCTGAAGGGCCGTGTCCGGAGCGTACGTACTGGTGCTTCTGCTCGGAGATGGCGTGAACCGGGCTTCCTCTGGGCCGTGGGCTTGAGTGCTGGTTCTTTCCAGTTAGCTGTCATGGGCTCTGACCTCCCCAAGATGCCAGATGCCTTATATAACATTTCAGCAGGTTTTCCACTTTGTACACAGACACGGGACCCTTGCCGGGAGATGATGTTTGATACATGTTCATGAAAAGAAATCTGTTCGTTTGACTTTTACGTAATGAAAACGACCTCAATTTTCCTGATTGTATAGTTTGGTAGACTTTCTTCTTAGAATGCCTGATTTTTTTTTTCTTTTATATTTAGATTGTCATGTCCCTGATTTTACTTTTATGATGAAAAAATTTTTAATTGTTTTTTGCACTTGTATGCAGTAAAATCTGCCCCTGGTAGGATGCCATTTGAGTTTTCACACACATGTGGATTCTCGTGCCCCGTGTGACCACACTGTTAGCGGAGCACGTGGCCCAGCAGCACATCCTGTTCCCGGCTGCCGGTAGGCACAGCCTGGCTCTCTGCGGTTTGCCTTCTCCCGGTGCCACAGAAGCGGGCCCACACGGTGTGTAACGTTTCGGAGGGCTCCTCACTTCTCTCCTAGCGCCCACGAGATCATGCTGGGCGTTGGCGCATCAACAGCTCTTCTCTCATGCTGCTGAGCAGCGTCCGTGCACAGATGTGCCTCAGTTCAGCCGTCTGGCTGCTGGAGAATATTGGGGTTGTTTCCAGTGCTCAACGATTGTGGTCAGTGCTCCTGGAAGCTGCTGTGAGCAGGGTTCGTTTCTCCGGTGTAAATACCCAGGAGGGGACGCCGTGTCCCGTCACATTTCTGCCGAACCCTGCCGAGTGCCCAATAGCTGCACCATTTCACTTGCCCTTGAACGGAACGTGGGAGTCGGGTCCCTCAGCATCTTCACGCTTGGGGCGGGCGGTGCCTTTTCTTGTAGCGTCCCGCAGTGCGCGGCGACATCTGTGTTTCTTCTTTAGTGAAGAGTCCTTCCAAGTCTTTGCCCACTTGTGTTTTTTTTCCCCCTTTATCTATTTGCATTGAAATCCAAGTTAACATATAGCATAATAATGATTTCAGGAATAGAATGTAGTAGTTCATTACTTATACATAACACCCAGTACTCATCACAACAGGTGTCCTCCTCGGTGCCCATCACCCATCTACCACATCCCCCACCCACCTCCACTCCATCAGCCCTTAGTTTGTTCTCTGTATTTAAGAGTCTCTTAGGGTTTGTCTTCCTCTCTGTTTTTATCCTATCTTTGCTTCCCTTCCTATATGTTCATCTATTTTTCTTAAATTCCACATATGAGTGAAATCACACGATATCTTTCTCTGATTTATTTTGCTTAGCATAATACCCTATAGTTCCATCCACGTAGTTACAAATAGTCTTCGCCCACTTTTAAATGGCATTGTTTTCTTATTTTGTTGTGTTTCCAGTTCATATATTGTGATATGTTTTGCAAATCTCTTCTCCCAGTCTGTGTTGTCTCTTCTGCATAGATAGTACTCTTTGCAAAACAACAGTTTTAATTTTAATAAAGTCAATTTGTTTTTTTATGGATTGTGCCAAGAGTTTTATAGTTTTCCTTCTTACGTTTAAGTCTAGGATCCATTTTGCTTTTTTTTTTTTTTTTTTTTTTTTTTGGTCTGAGGGTTAGGTCAAGGGTTATTTGTATGCAGGTTGATATCCAGTTATGCTGGCATACGTTGAAGATTGTCTTTTGTTATCAGTTTGTCTTTGCCAAAGTCAGAAGTTGCTCCACAGTTGTGTGTGTGTGTGTGTGTGTGTGTGTGTGTGTGTGTGTGTGTGTGTGTGTGTGTATTCTCTGTTCTGCTCTCCTGGCCCTCACCAGCTGCCTGATAGGTGTGGGTGACAAAACCTCCTCCAATTACACATTGGTGATCATTGCATTCTATGAACATACTAAAAACCTGTTGAACAACTGTTTTCAGAGGATAAGTTTTATGGTATGTGATTTATATTTCAATAACGCTATTATAGAGGTTTAGGCAAGCATTGACATCTTGACTGTATAACTGTAACTGTTATTGAATTTAGCGGTATTGAATCTTCTCATCTGTGAACTTGGGATGTCCCTTCATGTATTTAAATCTCTTAAAATTTCTTCCTTTTTTTCTTTTCTTTTCTTTTTTTTTCCTATGTTTGTTTATTTTTGAGAGAGAGAAAGCATAAGCAGGGGAGGGGCAGAGAGAGAGACACACAGAATCCGAAGCAGGCTCCAGCCTCTGAGCTGTCAGCACAGAGCCCAACACGGGGCTCAAACCCACAAATTATGGGATCATGACCTGAACCAAAGTTAGACATTCAACTGACTGAGCCACGCAGGCATCCCATAAAATTTCTTTCTTAAACATGTTGTAGTCATCAGCATTCATATTCTAAAAACATTTTGTTAGATTTTTACCTAAATATTTCATTTTTCAGGGGCCTGTTGTAAATGGTACTTTTCAAATGTTTTGCTTTCCAATTATTCATGGCTAGTGTATGGAAACACATCAACATTCATAGGTTTGCCTGGACCTTAGATGTCCTGTGACCTTGCTAACCTCACTTTTTAACCCTCGAAGTGTTTCTGTAGGATTTTCTACATGGACAATTACATCATCTGCGAATAGAAAGTTTTATTTTTTTCTTTCCAATGCAAATACCTTTGATTTTCTTTTCTTGCCTGGTGTACAGGCTGGACTTCCAGACTTGGATGTGTTTGTGCAGGCGTGGTCCCCCATCTTGGGGGTGGCCTTTGCTCTGTCACTGTGAAGGGTGGTGAGCAGGTACTCACGGGAAGGCCCCAGCCTTAGTGTGCAAAGACTGTATCCTGAACAGATGTTTAATTTGTTATGCTTTTTCTTCACCTGTTGATATGGTGATGTGTTTTGTCTTGTTCGGTCAGTTAACAGGGTGCGTTACGTTGATTTTTGGATGTTGACTATCTTGTGGCGCCAGGAAAAGCCCCACTCGGTCATGATGTCTTATTATTTTTATATATTGTTGGGTTTGATTTGCTAATATTTTGTTGAGCATTTTTGTATCTGGGTTCACGAGGGATTTTAATCTGGAGTTGGTTTTTTGTTTTTTATTTTTATATTGTCATTGTCTGGTTTTGGCCTCATAAAATAAGATGAAACATGTTTCCTCTTTTTACTTTCTGGAAGAAATTACATAGAGCTGGTATTTATTTCTTCCTTAAATATTTGTTAAAATTTAACCAGGAAACCACCTGGGCCTAGTGTGGGTTGTTTTTCAACCACCCCCGCTGAAAAACAGGTGGTAGTTAGTGATGGACTTGATGTTTCTGGTGCTGGATGGAGGGAGAGGGTCCTGTGAAAGTCAGTTTGTCCAGCTGGTTGGTGTCCTGTGGCCTTTTGAGTTGTCTCCTCCTTGTCTGCAGTCACCACACGGGAGATACTGACATCACTGAACAGAATGGTGAATTTGTCTGTCTTCAAGCTCCATCCAGTTTTGCTTTGCGTGTTTGAAGCTCTGGTGGGAGATAAAGTAAAGGGACCTCTGTACTGGGGAAGTAGGGTCCAAGCACTAAGGAGACTCAGGACTTCCGTTCTTTGATGTGAGAAGTTCTAAACGCTGCACGTTTTAATCTTTTTTTTTTTTAAGTTCATTTGTGTATTTTGAGAGACAGAGACAGAGAGAGCATGAGCAGGGGAGGGGCAGAGGGAGAGGGAGAATCCCAAGTAGGCTCCACACTGTCAGCACAGAGCCTGATGTGGACCTCGAACCCACAAACCGCGAGATCATGACCTGGGCTGAAGTCACTTAACTGACTGAGCTACCCAGGCACCCCGAAAGCTCCGTGTTTTACTCTTGATGAAAGCTGTCATCAGCACCAGTTCACAGCCCTGTCTGCTTCTCTGGAACTTGCTCACAGGTGTTTGGAGGTCCCTTGTTGAAGGCATCCTGTTGGCCCTGTGGGACTAAAGTCCAGTCACCCTTAGAGCACTTTTGTCCTTTATGTGAAAGTTCACAAGGAAATCAGGAAGTTATTTCTATTGAAGAAAAATTGACATACGATACTGTATTAGCTTCAGGTGTGTAACATAGTGGTTCGACACTTACACACATCACAAAACGGGGACCACCCTGGGTCTGGTTACTAGCCGTCACCACACAGTTACTGTGTTCTCTCTGCTGCATCTTCTTTACGACTGGACATTTGCACCTCTTAGTCCCCTCCATCCATTTTGTCCGTTCCCCGACCCTCCTCTCTCTGGCCACCAACCAGTTTGTTCTCTGTGTCTGTGAGCCTGTTTCTAATCTGTTTTGTTTGTTCATTGGGCGTGTTTTTAGATTCCACATGTAAGTGAAATCAAATGGTATTGGTCTTTTTCTGTCTGACTTATTTCACTTGGCATAATACCTTCGAGGTCCATGCATGTTGTCATGGACACTTGGGTGGCTTCTCTATCTTGGCTCTTGTAGATAATGCTGCCGTTAACATAGGGTGCAGGTCTTTTTTCACATTATCTTTTCATTTTCTTTGAGTAAATACTCAGAAGTGGAGTTACAGGATTGTATGGTAGTTCTGTTTTTAACTTTCTGAGGAACCTCCAGAGTGTTTTCCAGAGCAGCTGCACCAGTTTGCATTCCCACCAGCAGTGCAAGAGGGTTCCCCTTTCTCGGCGTCCTCGCCAACATCTGTTGTTTCTTGTCGTTTTGGTCATAGCCATTCTGACAGGCGTGAGGTGGTATCTCATTGTGGTTTTGACTTGTATTTCCCTGATGAGGAGTGATGTGGAGCATCTTTTCAGGTGTCTATTGGCCACTTGGATGTCTCCTGGGAAAACTGTTCAGATCCTCTGCTCATTGGATTGTTTGTCATACTGAGTTGTATGAATTTTTAAAATATATTTTGGATGTTCACTTCTTATTGGATGTATTGTTGGTTGATGGTTTCCTTTGCTTTTTTAGTTTGGTGTAGTCCTACATAATTTTTGCTTTCGTTGTAGGAAATAAATGTTTTCAAGGAGTAAGTCACAGTCTGCGAGTGAACTGGTGGGGCATTTTGCCCTTCATGTCCAAGACAATTTCCATTTCTAGAGTGTTTCTTTCCAGAAAAGCCCAGGCTGTGTTTTAGAACCAGGAAAACAAACATCTGTCCTTTTCCTTCTTCCTCATCATGGGTCCGGCGAGGGCCCTTCCACGGGGTCACCCTGGTGCTAGGCTCCTCCTTTCAGCCAAGTCCTGGTGCTGGGGGCTGGTGCCACCAGGCTGCCTTTGATTCCTGTTCCAGACTGAGGGGCGGAGGTCACAGTGCACATGGCCCAAGTACTTGGAGCTCCCTTTGGCCTCAGTAACAGGTCCTGGTTGTCCGATGTGGGCGGTCCCTTTGTTGTCCTCACTGTGGGATCCTCCTCCTCTGTTAACGCGTCCCTACTGGAGCTCTGGGCGTCTTCCACACACATCGTGGTGTCCAGGCCATGCTGTGTGCATTTGGACACGCTGCCTGGTCATGACGTCCTCAGTGTGCGTGGCACCCATGTGGGGCCCTTGCTGAGGTTTCCAAGAGTGTGATTTGTTGGTGCTGGAGTAGAACCAGGGATTCACACCTGCCAGGAGTTAGCATTTCTAGGACCAGAGAGTATGAGGGTGTTTAACAGGCTTAGCACTTTGAATTCAGGGTTCTTTTCATAATTATTTAGATTTTGTTTTTAATAAAAATGTACCTTTTGTGCAGTCATACTTCAATAAATGCTATGTAGCAACTACCCGTGAGTATTATCTGATTGATAATACCACGTGACAGCTTAGGCACCAGCGAAAAGAGGCTGAAGGTGGCCCAGGCATGGCCCACATCATGGCATTCGGGAGATGTGCGCCCAGCCCCCTTGCACCCGGGGTGGGCCTCCCCCTGGAAAGACCCCTGGGGGAGCAAGAAACAAGCTGTTTGAACATGACCCTGCCCCTGGGGCTGGGGTTCCGAGGGGTCATCTCCTGCCGACTCTGCCCTCGGCCATGTTTCTCAGGGTACTCCTCTGTTGGCTCAGCCGTGTGGACGATGCCGTGTGTGGTTCGTTACAGAGGCCGGACAGGTCTTCATGGAGGCAAGACAGGACGGTGTCACAGAGCTCACCGCGACAGCCGGAGGCAGGGTTGCCCGCAAGCGAGGATGCAAACCCCTGCAGCATGAAGGTAAGGGCGGGTCTGAGGGCTGTGTTGGGTGTGCACGGTGTCACCTGCTTGGTGCCCTTTGTCTGTTTTTATAAAGACTGTCTATTTCTAGAGCAGTGTAAGGCTCACAGCAGAATTGAGGGGAAGGTGCGGAGACGTCCCACACCTGAGCGAGCCTGCATGGACGGGTCCCGGTCACCCAGAAGCACGGTGCATGGCGGGGCTTGCTCTCGATGGTGCACACTCTGTGGGTCCGACAGTCGTGTAGGGACAGGTGGCCGCCCTTACGTGTCTTGCAGAGTCGCTTCCCCTAAAAATTCTCTGCTGTGCCTGGTCATTCTCCCTCCACACCTAAAATCCCGGTGCTTTAAAAACCCTGGCCTGTTCATTGTAGCAGCAAAAGCATTCTTGTGACATGGGGTTCCCCTGGGCCTGAGCACAGCTGCCAAAACACGTACCCGCCCTGTGCCTGTTTCCAGCCGGGAGACATGCTGGTTCTAGCTGTCGAGCTGTCGCACATGAGGGGAGTTCAAGTGAGAACACCTCCATCTGAAAGCTGGCCCCATTCCGCACAAACCTCGTGTCTGTGCTTGGAGTCCCGTTAGACCACAGTCTCCACACCCTGAAAGGGCCCTGCTCATCATGTTGGCCCTGAGGTTTGTGCTCTGAGCCCTCTCGAGTGAAAAATTGTGTCACAGCATTAGGGTATAAGGACATACCTCTCTATGTGACTTGAGGGATTTCCCACAGCCCCTGAGATGTCCAGGGGGCCCAGGATGAGACCCCGCCCCGCCACAGGGGCGCACCTTACCTTGTGGTCAGATTCCTGGGGTCTTTGGGGGGCTCCCTTGAGGCTTGGAAAGGAAGTCTGTGGTCTCCCTTTTGTCTGATACAGGAGATCAAACTCTGCACAGCAAAGCCGTCCCTGGGGACGGAGGTCACACAGGGCTGATGTGACAATTTGCTGAGAAGGAAAACAGTCTGGTTCTTTTTCTTTTTCTTTTTTTGAAGATTTATTTATATATTGAAGTTGTCTCTATGCCCAACGTGGGGCTTGAACTCACAACCCTGAGATCAAGAGTCGCACGCTCCACCGACTGAGCCAGCCAGGTGCCTCTGTCTGGTTCTTTTTAAAGATGGTACAATGGTACAGGGGCACCTGGGTGGCGCAGTCGGTTAAGCGTCTGACTTCAGCCAGGTCACAATCTCGCGGTCCGTGAGTTCGAGCCCTGCGTCGGGCTCTGGGCTGATGGCTCAGAGCCTGGAGCCTGTTTCCGATTCTGTGTCTCCCTCTCTCTCTGCCCCTCCCCCGTTCATGCTCTGTCTCTCTCTGTCCCAAAAATAAATAAACGTTGAAAAAAAAAAATTAAAAAAAAAAATAAAGCACAATGGTACAAACGTACTGTACAACTTCTGTCAGCAAGATGTCTTTGTTCCATGATTGTTTTGCTTTTTTCTTCTTTCAGATGGAAAAACTATATCTGCATTATTTGAGAGCAGAAAGCTTCAGAAAGGCTCTGATTTATCAAAAGAAGTATCTTTTACTATTGATCGGTGGATTCCAGGACTCTGAACAAGAAACACTCTCCATGATCGCTCATTTGGGAGTATTTCCTTCCAAAGCTGATAAGAAAATTAGCACATCTCGCCCTTTTACAAAGTTCCGAACTGCCGTCAGGGTTGTGATCGCTATATTAAGGTAATCTTCGCAAGCAGGAGGCACATTGGGCTTAGTCCTCCGTTGTCTTACTGTGCAATTACATTCTTTTCTAAGATGATGACACTTGAGGCCTTCAAGTGTACGTGGCATTTGCCTTCAAGAAATCATGTTGTGCAAAACTGTCAGCTGCCTTCTGACGCCAGAAGATTGAGGGATGCCTTTTTATCACAAAACAGTGCCTTGCCCCTTGATGGGTCTCTCTCAGGGTCCCTTCTGATGACAGGCACATCTGATCAAGTTCGAAACTGCATTTCACTGCTTCAGATTGCAGTTTCCTGTGTTTTAGTCAAATTTGTGCTCCATAAAAAGGGCCAGGTGCATAGGAACAGGGGACCCACACGAGGTGCTATTTTCCATCGTGAGTATGAGACCACTCCTGGGGGAGGGGAGGCTGTGGGGGTCCCACCAGCCTCAGACGCCGCTCACTGTCCCAGTCGTTTGTTTACACAGGGTCTCTTTTGGGGGACAGGTATGTGACTCTGGTGTGATTGGAAGTTTTGACCTGTTCAAAATTAACAGTGATGAGAATCCGTTTTATATTATAATTGTAAGATGTGCTGAATTTCTAAAAATGTTTGTCCCAGTAAGAATTGTACTACTGTATCCGCTCCATGATGCCCACAAGGTGTGTCCTCAGGCCCCAGCCCTCTGTGGGAGGGTACACGCTGAACGCAGTAGCTGGGTGGGCTGCCTTCCCTGGCTTCTCTCCCCCAAGCTGCAGAGGGTGGTGGGAGCCCTGCTCCCCGCAGAGACTGAGCACCGGCCATTCCGGTCCATCAGGGTTCCTTGCTCTCGTGCTCTCGACTCTCAGCCTCAGGCCACTTAGTCCCCTCACCTCTGAGTTCTGACCAGAGACCACCCCCTCACCATCTGTGTGTCCATCTGTCTGTCTGTCCATTCTGCGTTTTTGGACAGGAAGCCTGGTAGGTGGTCTGTGGGGCTGGTAAGCAGTCCCAAGGCCCCGCCGCCAGCACTCCTCTGACGGTGGAGGAGCATTTTCAGCAGCAGTGGTTTGATGCGAGGCAGACATGCCTTCTAAGAGGGCCTGTGGTCAGAGAGGCAGCGGTGCCTGGAGCAACAGCCAGCGGGAAGGCCCGCTCTGAAGGGCGTCCACTAAGCCACAGAGGGCCCGTCCCAGGAGGGGTCAGGGAGCCCCCCCCCCCCCCCCCCCCCCCCCCCCAGTGCTGCTCCTCCCGACACCCACCTGGTACTCCTCAGTCTTCTGACCAGGAGCGCCTGCGGGCAAAAGCCTCTGTCTTTGCGCCTTTTGTCCTGAGCCATTAGGTGGCGTTAGTGGCGAAGGGAGCAGGTGTTGCAGACTGATTTGAACTGGGGTCTGTGAGGTTCTGAGCTGGTGGGCATCGGGCGGTTGTGGGGGCTGTGACAAGGAAGGTGCTGAGGGCACAGGCATCAAGGTCACCACAAAGACAGTGGGGGCCCACCTGAGTCTGATTCCAGTCGTAGATCGCATCTGGATTTTCGTTGTTCTTTTCGCTCCTATTTGCTCTAGTTTTCAACGTTTTGTGTCCTTTTCTTTCCTTTGTAGACTGCGTTTTTTGGTTAAGAAGTGGCAAGAAGTAGATCGAAAAGGAGCTGTTGTGCAAGGCCGAGCGGCCCGCCCAGGTGGGCCCCCTGCTTAACCCCTTTCCGCTGGCAGCCAGGTGCTGGCTGAGCCCGTTGGAGACGCAGTAAAGCAAATATGAAATCAGTACATCCAGGGACGCTGGCAGCGAGGCGAGATGGCTTCAGAAGGAAAACGGCTTTAACGTTGGGAAGCGTAGAAAAACCCAGGGTTTACACAGTTAATGGTCGAAAAAATGTAGAAACGCTAAATATGTTGACCAATAACTCATTTAGTAGAAGGTCCACCTTACTGTCCAAAACCAAGTGATGTTCTGCTTGGTATGGCCACATCTGTCCTTGGGGCACCACTGCCTGCTGGATCAGCCACACCTGGTCCCCAGGTGCCATGCTGACCCACGCACAAGCACAGAGAACGCCCCGGTCATGGGGCACGCAGCCCCTTGTCCTGCGGGGCTTCGGGGGCCTGGTGGGAGGCTGCCAGTAGGCGGTGCCCCCTGAGCTCTGCCCCCAGAGCTGACCATCAGGGGACTGGGCTTCCCTAGTCACTGATTAGCTTTGGTTCCTACCTGTTTGTTACTTCTTGAAATAAAAATGGCTTTTCGACCTTCAGGCCTTTAGGAGAGTTTTCTCCTACACCAGGTGCACCTGGTGGTCTCCAGGGTTCTGCCTCTCCCTCTTTGGAGACCTCGCCTCAAAATGGGGGGGAGGAACACCCTCCTCACTCCTGCCCCCAGGATCCCCTGGAGGCACTGCCCGTATGCATGCTGGGGTCAGGTCAGCCCTGCAGGCAAGGGCAAAACACAGGTGATCAAAACTCAGGGTTCTTGTAGAGCTTTTTTTTCTTTTTTAAAATAAGAACAGTTCCATTCATTCATTCATTCATTCATTCATTCATTCATATTTTAAAGAGAGAGCACCAGTGGGGGGCGGAGCAGCAGGAGAGAGAGAATTTTAAGCAGCTCAGTGTGGAGCTTGTGGCAGGGCTCAATCCCCTGACCGTGGGATCATGACCTGAGCTGAAATCGAGTCGGACACTCGACTGAGCTGCCGAAGCACCCATAGGGTTTTTAAAACAATTTTTAGGGGTGCCTGGCTGGTTCAGTTGGTGGAGGATGTAACTCTTGATCTCAGGGTTGTGAGTTCGAGCCCTACATTGGGTGTAGAGATGGCCTAAAATAATAAAAAAAAAAAAAAAAAATTCAGGGGTGCCTGGGTGGCTCAGTTGGTTAAGCGTCCAACTTCGACTCAGGACATGATCTCACAGTTCATGGGTTTGAGCCCCTTGTTCGGCTCTGTGCTGACAGCTCAGAGCCTGGAGTCGGCTTTAGATAGATACTGTGTCTCCCTCTCTCTCTATCCCTTCCCTGGTCACACACACCTTCTCTCTCAAAATTAAATATTAAAAAACATTTTTTAGGGGCGCCTGGGTGGCGCAGTCGGTTAGGCGTCCGACTTCAGCCAGGTCACGATCTCGCGGTCCGTGAGTTCGAGCCCCGCATCAGGCTCTGGGCTGATGGCTCAGAGCCTGGAGCCTGTTTCCGATTCTGTGTCTCCCTCTCTCTCTGCTCCTCCCCCGTTCATGCTCTGTCTCTCTCTGTCCCAAAAATAAATAAACGTTGAAAAAAAAAAAAAAATTTAAAAAAAAAAAATATATAAAAAAAAAAAAAACATTTTTTAAATCTCTAAGGCATAATTTTTATAAATAGGGTATTTTTAAAATGTTTGAAGTTGCCATGCAGATCTTAAAAGCTTAACTTTTGGTAGAGGGTCCTTCCTACTAAAAGGCATTCATCTCTTTTCCTATTCCCTTTGTTGTTAAACGATTGTGGGGGAAGGATTCCCGATGCCACGGCAGCAGCCTCCACCCAAAACCAGCACGTCCCCACCAACCCGGGATGCATCCTCCAGCCACACTGGGGACCCTGTGCCAAAAGCTTCCCCGTGCAAGAGGGAGAGGTGAGTGTACTTCGAGGCTGCATTTTCACTGCAGCCGGGCCCGCGCTGTAGCGCAGCCGCTGTGCACGGGGCTGTCTCCAACCGCGGGACCCCTCCCCAGACGTGCACACAGCCACGCAAGGCCTTGGTGGGCTCACCATAGTTCTCTGGGATTGGGGTTTTGCACACATGATATTATCTCTGTACTTAGCACTCAGTTGGCAGTTGAGATGTTACAGCAACACAGTTAAACATCCATAGGTTATTTTAGGTGGGGAAGAGCCCTTTTCATTTTAAGAGATAGGAGCACCTGTGGTTGGATGGTAGAATGCAGGTTTGTTTAAAAATTAAATTGAGGAAAGCTTTCCATAATGGCCTAAGGGTTTGAGCCAGGATTATATGGAATAGGCACGTCCTGAGGCCCCGGTGGGGGTGGCGGGATGTGGCCCCGCCTTGTCCCCAGAGCGTGTTTTCCCAACAGAGGGATTTCTCATCTAGGTGCTAATTACGGAAGATGTGACTTCCGTTGCATTTCTGCAGATTGAACCATGTGACCATCCTGTCCAAATGCTCGTGTGAGGAAATCTAGAGCAGGAGTCATTTATGTAATTCTTTCAACAACATGACCTCCAGTGTTTGTAACATACCCTTAAAATGTGTAGCAGAATTCAGTTTGCATCTTTGTGGGTGTTTGCACACACATCCAGTCTTCTGTTTCTCTGAGTGAGCTTTCCAGAGCAAGCTCCACTCTTAGGGTACAGCACTGTCTCCGAAGTGCCATTGACCGGCATTCGCTCCTTCACCCCATGCCCCTGGCTGACGGTGGCATGTCAGTGCAGACCACACTTCAGGAGTGTGGCGGCCACTGGTGTGGCTGTCCCAACAGGAGAGATGGTGCAGTACACACAGGCGCCACGGCCGTGCCACGGGGCAGCCCAGGCGCATGTGCTGTGCGTCCGGGTCTTGATCTCCTGTGCTGATGACGTTCCACCAACGTGTGCAGTTCCTCAGGGAGACATATCATGAAAGTTTTGGCTTTGGCCCGGCCACGAGCAAGGCAGGGAACGCACACGTGTCCACTCTGTGTGGGGAAGGCAGAGGTTGCTGGTCTGGTGGCCGAGGCCTCTCCAATGTGGACGGGGTGAGGATGAACAGGAAGTGTCCCTACCCTGAGAGACAGTGACAGCAGAGGACCAGGAGGAAGATGCACTGAGTAGGGACCAGAATGGGACGGGTTGTGCCTCCAGTGAAGGGGACAGCTCGGGACCATCGGAAAAGTCCCGTGGGTAGTTGGGTCACCCTCAGGGCACAAAGAAGAGGTGGGTCTGAGGGACAGTGGTGCAAAAACCAGTTGGGATAATGAATTCATACATGACGATTTTATGAATAAAATCATAGTATACAGTAAGTTTTAGTCATTTTAAGCCTGCAACATTTTATAGAAGTTGGTTTTTAAAAGCATTACATAGCATTTTTAAAAAATGCCTTACTTTTGGGGCGCCTGGCTGGCTCAGCCTGCAGGGAGTGCAACTCTTGATCTCAGGGTCGTGAGTTTGTGCCCTGCGTTGGGTGTAGAATTTACATACATATGTACATACACACATACACGCATAACTACATTTTAAAAACCAAAACGAACAAACGCACACACACATATGTACATGCTTCACTTTTTTTTCGTGGTAAAGGATAGGAAGGCGATGTTTGTCTGCTTCACCCCGTTCCCTGCTGCCTGTCTGTGCTCTGGGTGCTGACTTCCACTCTTGTTTTATGTGTTTGTTTGAAGATCTGCTCCATCCTCAAATTCAAAATCAGAAAGATCCCTGACTGCTTCTCAAGACCCTGAACATTCGTTGACAGAATATATTCATCATTTAGAGATGCTCCAGCAAAGACTGGGCGGGGCACCTCCAGGTAATAAAAGTTCTTCTCTGTTTTCTAAAATAACACACTGAACCCTGGGAACGAAAAGTAACATCGCAGAGGCTGTAGTATTTAGGTTAGCAAGTGTTGTTACTTTCGGTCTTAATAATTAACCATTGTTAGTAGGATCGTTGGGTGAAGGCACCTCCAGAAGTGTGAGCAGTGTCTTCAGCGTGAGCGTGGGGATCCATTTGCTTGATCACTGGCTGGGCCTTTTGCTCCATTTTATGCTCACGGAACAAATAATTATGTTTCAGGATAGAATTTGTGGGGGCTTCTTCACTAACGTAGTTTAAATTTTAATTTTTTTTTTTCAACGTTTATTTATTTTGGGGACAGAGAGAGACAGAGCATGAACGGGGGAGGGGCAGAGAGAGAGGGAGACACAGAATCGGAAACAGGCTCCAGGCTCTGAGCCATCAGCCCAGAGCCCGACGCGGGGCTCGAACTCACGGACCGCGAGATCGTGACCTGGCTGAAGTCGGACGTTTAACCGACTGCGCCACCCAGGCGCCCCTTCACTAACGTAGTTTAAGCCATTGTATATTTTAGTTGTAATTCTTATTTTTACCATAAATGAGATTAATTCAGTGGTACTGTTTCAGTATCATGAAATTCTTAAGAGACACATGAAGAGTTCTAACGAATTGCTACGTCATTTTTCTTTATTTTTAGATTGTACTTCAAAGAAATCCTGCCACCAGAAAATTAAACAATGAATAAAATCCTTGCGGCTCTTACCTACGACAATTCTACTTGAGGAGAAGATTGGGGTTCTTTTTCCTTTGTCTAAGGAAAGCTTGTGGCGTGGCATCTGGGCAGCACCCAGTCTCCCCACGTGCCTGAGATGCCAGCCCCCCTAGTGCGGCTCCTTAGGTGTTCTCACCTGTTTGTAATACTACAAAGCCAAGTGGAGTATATTCTGTGTAATTTCAGTACGTCTTAGGTCCTTACCTTCCTGAGGTGACGTGTGCGCTCGTGAGTGACAGGCGTCTGCCCTGCCCCGGGCACATTGGCAGAGCCCCTGCCCGCCTCCAAGAAGGAAGCAGAGCCTGGCCTCCTGTTGTTTATTTTCTTCAAGTGTACAGATGGGGACTTGGTTTAAAAACACAAACACACAAAAACCAAAAAGAATAAAAGTCCAGCACTATTTTATTTGTGAACGGCCCTTGTGTTGTGTTTCAGTCTTCTCCAATTTGCTTTATCAGTGGCAAGAAACCAAAACAGAGACTGGGAATTCCTGTATGTCAGGGTTTTCGGAGGGACACAAAGTGTTCCTCACCTGGTAAAGACAGGTAGCCACTTGCCTATTGCTGGGTCTTACTTGGTTTCCTAGTTGAGTATCTCCATGTGATTTCAGGACCTCTGAGTATGACATTTATTCTGCTGAGCGTAGGCTTTAACACAAAACCATTTTTTCTGAATCACAGCTTACTTCCATGATAGATGTTCCTTCCGGCCTACAGCACCGGTGTGCGTCTGCACTTTCTGTGCAGCAGCTACCACGACTGTGAGGCCAGTTCCTTACAGCCTTTCCACCTTTTCTGCCGAGCTCTGTGCTCTGCTGGTTGCTGTCACTGAAGCCTGGACGTGTCTCTTCAGTTCCGCATCCAGAAGAATAGTGATCTGGTTGGTTATCAGATACAGAATAAGTGTCCATGTGGGAGGCCTCATTTAGAGCCACCAGCAGAAGTGACCATCACCCCAGCTCAGTATCTGTGGGAGCTGGTCCTTAAAGAGAAAGAGGCGTTCACCCTGCCTTCCATAGGAGAACGGCCAGTCATCCTCGTAGGCGAAGGAACATTCTTCTTATGGAAAGGTGCCAGCTAATTAATAAGGAGGGGACTATCCCATTAGAGACCCGCCGTTCTGCAGCCCACGGCAGGATAATCAAGTCAGGTCCTAAAATCACAGTACCCATGGGTCAGTGGGCGGCCTGGCGTTTGGGCCTCTGGGTGTGATGATGGGTGAACTGCACGGTGTCTCCTGTGGCTGCTCCTGGTTTATAGATGGAGAAACAAATGACATAAAACCATGAGGAAAAAGACAAACGTGGGGGATATTCTAAATGTTTTATTTATTTTTGAGGGAGGGAGACAGCATGAGTGGGGGAGGTACAGAGAGGGAGGGGACAGAGGATCTGAAGCTGACAGCACAGAGCCCGATGAGAGGCTCAGAGTCACAAACCGTGAGATCGTGACCTGGCCAAAGTCAAACGCTCAACCGACTGAACTACCCAGGTGCCCCCAAACATGGGATATTCTGTAAGTGATTCACCTAGTCTCATCAGATTGACAGCATTGATGAGGGCCTGTTCTCAATGAAAAGAAACAGGAGACACAACCAATGAGATGGGTGTGAAGTTTAGTTCCTAAATTGAGGACCAACGGCTATAAAGATGGTTTTGGGGGTAACTGAACCTGTACTGGATAATAGCTTTTAAGGGAATTTTAATTCCCGGTTGTGCTGACCGTTATGTAACAGAATGCTGCTTTCTTAGGTGTTGTATGCCGAATTATTAAGAACAAGGGGCTACAACCACCGGATGCACTCTGAGATGGCTCTATGGGTAGGAAAAAATACACACAAATATGGATTAAGTAAGCATGGCAAAATCTTTGTAAAATATTGAATCTGGCTCACAGAATGGTATATGGTTATTGTTTGAAATTTTTCGTAATGAAAGATGAAAAAATACCACCCAGAGTCTGGGCTAGGATGTCTTACTCTAACGTAGGATACTCTACCAGAGCTCAGACCGGGACACAGAGACCACACTGGGTTTCCAAACAAAGGGGATTTAATACAAGGATTTGATGACTCTGCAGGCAGGGGCGCTGTTCCGAGCCCGGCCAGAAGCTGCTGGCACCCAGGGGCGGTCAGGGACGCAGGGACAGGGTGCTCTTGCGGGAGCTGACCACATGATGAGACGTGTCAGCCTCCAGAGAAACGTCCATCTTTGTCCTCTCGCCCTCCTGTCGGCCAAGACCGGACAAGGGAGCCTGGGACGGTCCTTGTGCAGGACAGACGGGCGAGAACTGATCTGAAGGCACGTGGGCAGCGCGTCTACTCCTCGTCTGCTGAGCACGTGTTCTCCTTCACACACACGACTGAGACGTAACTTAATCCGCCTGCCTGAGGTGAGTCATCTACGATGGCCTTGGGCCTCTCCAAGGCCCACATGGGGCTGCATCTCAATAGTGCTGCTCTCCAGGGGAGACAGCCTTCGCCTGTAGGACTGGGTCAGCCCTTCACAACTTCGTGCAGCTGATGCACTGTGGCTTGTCACACAAAGTGGGGGAGATGGAAGGGGAAGGCGTCCCTGCTCTGCATGGAGTCACGAGGCCCTACTCGACATTTATCACCTCTTCCTTCGCCAGGGCCTTGTTTCCTGGTCCTCAGCCAGCACCTTGGCTGGTTGGATGACATAAGCTTCCCACCAGAAAGATTTGAGATCATTAATAGTCTTGGTTTTAGAAGATGTCCCTTGTTTTCTCCTCTTACAGTTGAGTCTGAAATTACCGAGTACCAAGAGGTGCCTGGTGAGGATGGGCTACAGATGGGTTTTCCTGTCCTCACTGTGGGCTGCCATCCAGCTGCCCTGTGGTGATTGGGGCCAGTCACACCAGCCCATACAGCAACCCCGCCCCTGCTGATTCAGGGGACAGTCTGCTCTTGTTGAAAGGGACTGTTGTCTGGAGGAAGCAGCTCCCTTGGGACAGCAGAGCCCAGTGTCACAGGACGAGAAGCAGAAATTGCTCCGGAATCATTGGCATGACGGTAACAGGGGCTGTGCCCAGCTCACCCCCAGGCTCCCCTGCTGTGGGAGGAAAGGCTCCTTGAGGGGCGCCTCGAGTCGGCAGGCCTTTCCACCGTCCGCCAGGAGAGCTCCCTCCGGGTGATGGGAGTTAACAGTAAAAGGGAATGCCACACTCTCTGAGAAGCAGGGATGCTGAACACGAATTTGCGGGGGGGGGGGGGGGGGGGGCGGTCCACAAATGAGCTTTGGGCAAGGAAAGCAAATCCATGTCCAAACAGGAGTGGACAGAGGCATGGGGACAACTCAGGGAAATTTAACGGGAACCCAGACCACCTGTTCATGCAATTTACATTTGTACACCTTAATTCTGACACTACCTGGACTGCCCCACTTTAGACACTAGCTGTAAGTGTAGACACTAGCTGTAAGTGGGGTCCCCGGGCCACAACGACAAATGTGGCTGTTTTCACAGCCTCTCCCCTCGGGTTTGTTGATTTGCCAGAATGACTCCGTGCACGGAAATGCTGGATTCACTGGTTTGGTGTGAAGGATAGGACTCGGGCAGCAGAGTGGAAGTGACATGCAGGACAGGCTCAGGGGCAGGACACAGAGCTTCCCTGCCCTCTGTGGGCGTGCCACCCACACAGGATGTTCACCAACCTGCAAGCCCCCCAAACCTTGCTCACTGGCTTTTATCAGGGCTTCGTGATGTAGTCATGATTATCTGCCACGTGCCTGAAGTCCGTCTCCAGCCCCGCCCCTCTGGTGACTGGCCCCCATCCTGAAGCTATCTAGGGACCTCACCATGAGCCAAGTCATTAGTGAAAAACTCAGGGGCGGTCAAAGGGGGCTCATTGTAACAAAAGGACACTCATCAGGAAATGCCAAGGGTTTTAGGAGCCAGGAAACCACCAGCAAAGGTCAAATCTGTATATTTTCATTACCTCATGTAAATAGCGCTTAAGGTGATTAGGGCTCCACTGCACCTGCCTGTCGTCATGGCTCAGCCATCACACAGCACCCAGGGTACAACGTGCTGCGTGAGTTGTGTGTTGCTTGGGCAGGAGTTTGGTCTCCGCCAGGATTCAGGGGTAAGTTTGATGTTTCTCGAATGGAAACTGAGTTAGCAACAGGAGGAGGCAAAGCTTTGCTTCAAGACCCTAGTGGTCTGCCCTAATGGGGCTAAGTGAAGCAGTGTCCAGCATCCTGCGTTGGGTGTCTTGATGACCTGAGCAGCAAGCATGACGGCCTGCGTCAAAGCTGCAGGCCCGTGGTCGTCCCGGTCTGCGGGGATGCTAACGTCTTGTGGCTTCCTCAGCATGCACACTGGGTCCAAAAGAGCCATCCCTCACGGTAGGCGGTACAAGGCACGGCTGTTTGCCTCTGACATTGGAAGGGACACATGCTGTTCTGCAGGCTCCTTGACCCCCAGAAACTGCCACAGGGGCAGCCCTGACTTTGAATGGAATCTGCCTCACAAGCCAGCGTATCTCTTGCTGCTTTCCATTCATTAGGACCTGTGACTGTGATGTTTTCAGTGGAATGGGTCAAAGTCCTATGATGTCTAAACAAAGACCCTAAAATAAGATAGTGACGGGCACTGCTGCCTCTGCTGAAATTGAACTAATCGTCTTTTCTGGTTGGTATTGAGGAAAAAGTGACGAGGGAGCCTGAATATAAACCTTTTTATCAGGTGCTGTTGCTTTTGGACCCATGTCAAGAGTTTGATCCCAGTAGAGAAGAACAGGCCTCCTCTGGGAGCAGACGGCCCAAACACGCCGTGACACACCCGCGGAGGGCTGGACACCGTGTAGCCTTAGCTTGGGCTGCTGTAACGAAATGCCATAAACTGTGTGGCTTACAAACAACAAAAATGTATTTCTCGCAGTTGTGGAGGCTGGAGGCCCAAGATGAGGGTGCCAGTGGGGTGGGGTTCTGGCGAGGCCCCTCAGGACGCAAACCGCTTACTTTGACTTGTCTCCTCGAGTGGCGGAGAGTGGGGAGGGGAAGCAAGCCTTCTGACTCGGCAGGCGCCGATCCCGGTCATACGGGCTTCACCCTCACCATCTCCTCTACCCCAGTTACCTCCCAGAGCCCCCTCCCACCGTCTAATGCCATCACGTTGGAGGATGTACAATACTGGGTCTGGACGGATCCGAATGACCAGAGTGAGTGGTGCTGAGTTTTCTACTTCCTGCCTCCCCTGTGCTCTGCTCTCCTGGGAAGTTCCCCATGACCAGTTGACAGACAGGAGAGAACGGGTTTGTTCTTCAGACGGATCTACACGGCAGGCAGGCATCGGCTAGGAGTGGACAGGAGTGACTCCACCACCCAGCTTAGGGGTGGATTTGGGGAGATTTCCATTTGGCTTCCTCCTCTTAGCGCCTGCGTTGCCGACAGAATGCCAATGCTGAGACGGTGATGTGGCAGCCTGGCTCCCTACGTTACAGAGGAGGCCGTGATTTGTCAGCCTAGAGATAGACACACGTTCCAGGTGTGAATTGGGCTTCCTGCCTGCAATGCATCCGTCGGCACCAGCACCCACGGGCTTACAGAGTATCCCACCCAGCTGCAGCCCTGCACGGGCTGTTCTGAAGCCATGAAGGGGCAGGGTCAGCTCACGCTCCTAGAACTCACTGGTCTCACTGTGTGGTGGTGGGGGGGGGCCATCGAGAGGATGTGACTGCCAGTTGACCTGTGAGCTGGACCTGTGCAGCTGGAGGCTCTCCACTCCCTCCCCTGTCCTTGGAACGTACCCACAGCCTACTCTTCCCACTGTGGGAGCTGTTCCAAGGACATAGCCTTGGTGACACCATCTGGATCGTGTATGTGACCGAATCCTGTGAAGGCCTCTATATAAACCTTTAAGGTTCTGGCAGGTGGGTGTGGGGATCTGCCTGTCTGGTGTCTGCCCAAGAGAGGCCTCGTAAAGAAGGTACCTTGCTTAGTATAGCTGCCACCTACCAACCTGAAGTCCGCCTCTTCCTCTGGTCTCTCCTTTCCCTCCACATACGGGGACCAGTTTGCGAACTAACACCATGTATCCCATCGGCTGGAAAAAATTGCCTTGACCAAAGAGTGGAGTGGTTGCTGAAGGCTCTCTTTCGGCACCAGCATGGAAACACATCTTAAAAGTTTGAGGGACTGTCTGAAAGTGGTGTGCTCCTTAAACCATTAGCACACGTATCTGCTCCCTCCCTAACAGCCAGACTTCAGGAATCTGTGAATCGAGAGGCAGACCCTTTCATTACATGTGCAAGTTGAATTCTTTAGACTTCTTTTTTTTTCTAATGCATTTTTATTTCTATATTTAATATTTTTAATCTCTGTGCCCAACATGGTGCTTGAACTCACAACACCAAGATCAAGAGTTGTATGCTCTACTGACTGAGCCAGCCAGGGGCCCCCATTTTTTAATTTTTGATGGAATAAAATGTTTTTAGCTTATGTTTTTATTTCCAATGTATTTTTATTTTTAATTGAAATATAGTTGATATACAATGTTATATCAGTTTCAGGTGCACAACATATTGATTCAACAATTCTATACATTATCACCACGATAAGCATAGTCACCATCTGTCACTGAACAATGTTATTGTATTGTTGACTGTATTCTCTATGCTGTACTTTTCATCCCCATGACTTAACATATTTTACCACTGGAGTTCGTACGTCTTCATCCCCTTCTATTTCCCCCATTCTCCCACCGCCTCCCCTCGGGCAACAACCAGTTCTTTGTATTTATGAGTCTGTTCTCTTTCTTGTTTGTTTTTTAGATTCCACATGTGAGTGAAATCATATGGTTTGTGTCTTTTCTCTGCCTAACTTCCTTCACTTAGCAAAATAGCCTTTAGTTCCATCCATATTATAGTGAATGCCGAGATTTCATTCTTTTTTATGGCTGAGAAGTATTCCATTGTATATACACCACTTCTTTATCCATTCATCAGTCAGTGGACACTTAGGCTGCTTCCATTTGTTGGTTACTGTAAACACTGCTGCGATAAACAGAGGGGTGCATATCTCTTCTTGAGTTAGTGTTTTAAGTCTTTAGTTTTTTCATCATAGTTAAGCAAGGGACTACCAAGAGGCACCCACACAGACCACCGGGGTTCCACATATTCTTCCTCATTGTGTAATTAATGCAGGAGATGCCCTACCTTCTCCACTGCCGAGACAGTGACTCCTCCTTTTGCCTGCTCGTTCCTAGATGCAAGGACCCCAAGGTTTCCAGACCACCATAGTTTGCAATCCAGGGGAACAGTTGGCATGTTCCCTGGTGAGGGTCCTTTTGGGTGACTAGGACTTCTAACCCTGCAGTCTGAACTTGGGAAGATAGGAAGCACAGAGTGCCACAGTGGAAAGCGATGGTAAGTGGGGCCACTCCTGTTTCCACCCCTTGATTTCAACTCATGTATCCTTCCTCTTGGGGATACAGTGGCATATAAAGGTCTGAACGGCACCCTGTCTTTGCAGAATATTAACTCCCAACTTGGCACCACAGCTGTGCCTTTGGCTGGCTGTCCCGATGCTCTCTCAGGCAGTGGATCTCATGGTCACTGCACTTCTGCTGCCTAAAGTGCACTCCTGCACTTCCTGTGCTGTAAAGTGAGTCCTATTTGATATGAGGCCATATGGGGTCCTGTGCCAGTGGAACAAACACTCCTTAAGCCCTTGCTGGTTGATATTTGTGGGCAAGAAGCCCAAGCATACATAGAATATGAATCTATTCCTGTGAAAAAGAACTGCTGCCCCTTACAGAATGGAAGTTCCAATAGAGTGAAGTTGGTTGATTGACCTTTTCAAGGTCAGAAGACATAATGGAAGCTCAGCATTGGTCTCTTCTGCTGGCAGGTTAGACATTCAGTGGCAGCTGGTGGCTCAGCCGTGGTCAGAGAACTCACACTGCTGGACCCACGGATAGCCTCTGCTCTAGCACCTTGGCCACTTTGTCCTTGTGCCCAGTGGCAACTGCTGTCTAATGTAGCTGGCCAGTCATTCTGTCCACTTGGCTGTTTAATACTTCTTTCATGGATGCTCTCTAGACTTCAACATTTTACACAAAGACCACCCACTTGGTGCCTATTCCAATAAATCTATCCTCATGCGTGTATCACAGAGCTCCTTATCCCAGGTTTGGATTTTGTTCCAGGCCCTAAGCCAGCCACCCTACCTAGGTCATCCAACACTGTCCGTGGTTCACTTGTCACATTAAAAAAAAAAAGTGAATGCCTTTGCCCTTTGGGAGGATATGCCCTTACCACTGTCTTACAAGGCCCCTGCCCTCCCCGGAGTGAGGCTGCAGTGTAGCTGCTGTCCATGTGCAGTTTGAACTCACATACCAAGCCAACCCATTTAGTTAGTTAGTTTATTTAGAGAGACAGTGGGTAGGGGAGGGGCAGAGAGAATCCCAAGCAGGCTCTGCATTGCCAGCACAGGGCCCAACATGGGGCTCGAACTCACAAACTATGAGATCATGACCCGAGCTGAAATCAAGAGTTGGCCGCTTAATTGACTGAGCCACCCAGGCATCCCCCAAGCCAACCCATTTATGAACCAAGCTCAAGATTTTTCCTTGTCAATTGGTCATCAAGGCCCCCTGTATGGTCACAGATGTGGAATGGTGGAGTGGCTCTAGCACAACAGCAGGGGGTGCTGTACGAGTCTGGGCTACCTATTTGGCACTCACCTGTGACTTCTACATTCTCATGTTCAGTCTTGAATGCACTGCTTCCATTTTATGATGGATTGTGCTGGGCCCAGCTGACTTTATGACCTGGTAAGTTTGACAGCACCCATCTCATAATGCGCAATTTGGGCTGCATGGTGATCTGGTGTCCCAAGGTCAGGTGTTACATTCCTATCAGAACACAGTAGCAAAACAAGGCATTTTCCCCCCAAAAGACATATACATTCTCTGCTCCAAGTGGTATGTCAGAACCTCAGGGTCCTGAATTGTGAATCTCCTACTGGGGCATGTTAGAAACTCCACATTGCATTGTTCCTTCACTGCCAATAACCACCAATACCACCTGCTAGAACATATGACTCAGGCAGCATAGCTACTTGCATCACAGCCTTGACGTATTATGGCCTCCGTTAATTACCTGCACCCCGTATGGACCACTCTAACAGGAGTGCCATGATGAGGATCCAAGTTTCTAGATATCAAAGTTCTGGGCTTTTCTTAAAACTGACAGTTTTCCGAATCACCCAGTATTTGATCGAGCTGTATTCCTATGGGTGGAGTATGCTGCTTCCAGACTCTGAAGAGGTCGGACAGTGTCTTGCTTTCCAATGGTTGAAGGTGCAAGATGCAATAATTATCTTTTACTTTTGGAAGGGATGCCTTGGGCCACTGCTGACCACTGGATCCCTAAAAATAATATTGATGTAGCAGGTCCCTGAATCTTCATAGGGTTTATTATTTCCTCTCTGGAGTATCTGTATCTTACCAAGGTCTCCAGAATCTTCTCCATTCCTTGCTCATCTGGCCAATCAACATGATGTTATTGATGTAATGGGACAATGTAATCATCTCCAGGATGTCTAAATGGTCCTGATCTCTGGACTATGACAGAAGGCATGAGTTAACATCGCAAACAGGCAAAACTGTATATTTGTTCCACACGTTCCACAGTCTGGGGGCCAACATCAGTTGTCAGACATTTGAGTAAATGAATAATTGAGAGAGATGATTCTTGTTGTTCTAAGCCACTAAGTGTGTAGTAATTTGTCATGCAGCACTAGGTACACCATCATGCCAGCAGCCATCCCTTCAGCAAGTTTCCAGCCGGTTGTCGTGCAGGTGCTAAATCCCCTATCTTAGAAGATTGCTGAAAAGTCAATAAACTCTTCTACCCAATTTTACGTTGCAGCTCCCTTTTGATATCTGCAAGGGTCATGCTGATGAATTTAACCGCTCATCAAGCACACATAATGTGGCCCCCAACAAATGTTCCCAGGCCCTGGAAGTTCATGTTGGCTGTGTCTTACAGCTTGTTATGGGTTGAATTGTATCCCCACCTCCTCCCTGAAAACCTGTTGGAAGTACTGACCCCCAGCACTTGTGAATGTGGCCTTATTTGGAAGTAGGGTCTCCGCAGATGATCAAGTTAAGATGAATTCATTTAGGGTGGGCTCTAATTCAGTTTGACTGGTGTCC